GGTTTATACTACTCTAAAAAGCAAAGGTAATTATTAATTTTGATTTTAACAATGCTGGGAAAATTTGCAAATTATTTTAAAAACTAAAATTCAAAGATAAGATAAAAGATAAGTCGTAACATTCATTCTTTTATTAACAATATTCAAAAACGAGATGTGGACAAAAATATTTTTTTCTTAAAATGTTCGAACTATTGACGAGGTTACCGAGACCTCGCTTTACATTTTTTATTTTTTATTTTTAAAAATTTTGTTAATAACTTGTTTATTTAAAAACTCATCAACTTGAAATGTGGATAAAATGCAGATCTTACTAATGACAATTAATCCATAAAAAAATTTGTTTAGATTTTAAAGGCGCTGGTGATAATTAAATTTAAAATTTAACAATTTTTAAAGGGTAAATAATCGAAAAAGCAACTTTGTTTTACAAATTTGGGTATAACACGTTAAAGTATTGATATTTGACTATTATTTAATATATTAACTTTTTTATGCAAATGATGTTTCTATGGCCAGGATCAGTTTTGAATTAGCAGCAGCAGTATTCATAAATGTTTAGTTTAGTACATTTTGTCATTTTTATACAAATATTCTTGTATCTTTTATTAATAATTATGTATAGCAAAATACATAAATGACGTTTAATATACATGGTGGTTCACGTACGTAGTTCGTTAGAAGTTTCTAGACAATCGCAAAAGACGATTTAAAATTTTAATAGCCTAAATTATTCGATTTAGACTTTTTCCTAAATTATTTTGAACAAAATAATACTTCCTGTTATACCGGAAAAATCTTTAACTTGGTATTTTAAATAGGACACCTCATATATTTTTACATTTTTGAATTTTACAAAAAATTCTGAGTAAAATGGCTATTATATCCTATACATACCTAAAGTCAATATTTTTCGAGTTATTAATTTTTTAATCAAATATTTTAATTAATTTTAAACAATGACAGATTAAGTGGTAACCATGGATACTGTCACATTAACCCACATGTAGAATTTCGCAGGTTTTTTGATACAAAATAGTATTGAAAATATTAGAAATTGTTAAATGTCTATGAAATTTTAACTTTAGGAAACAGTTATTATAATACCAATCAAAAGATTTTTTAAATTTCTATTTGATTATGTTAAAACATACAGGGTTTTACATTTATAATAAAAACGGTATTATTGTTTAGTTTGCCTAATTTCAAAAGGATTTTCTTAAGCTATTTGTTAAAAAACCTTTAAAAAATTAAATTATTTAAACAATGTTTTAATATTTCAACCCCATGTCAGCAAACCTAATTACAAAAAAATTAGAGGCAAAATTTTAACGAATAAAATTAGTATTTTAAAAACTATTGACTTTAGGTATAGTCTAAATCAAATTGTATATGATTTTAAAATATCAAATCCATATCGTTTGCGTTTCTCCAGAAACACCCTGTATAGCATTATATTAAATATAAAAAAATGCAAAATAACTAATTACAAGAAAGCGAAAAATAACTCAATAATAAATATACCTACATAAATCTAAATAGCCGATCGAAACATAAAAAAAATTATTTATTGGGTAAATATTACTTTCCTCAGTCCTGACACTGTCTATTAAAATGAATAACCTAAATAATAATTATATATAATTATTATTTAGGTTATTCATTTTAATAAATTAATGTTTTGAGTTTATAGTACACTTATAAATTAAAGGTTACCATAGATAAAAGTCTATGATGCTTACTATGATCAAAATTGGTAAACTTGAAAAAATTTTAAATTTATAAATAAAAGTAATTTTAGCTCCATCTATGGCGATTTTTTTAAAATAAATATGAATGAAGAATTGTATGTTATATATAATATATTATATGTAAGATAATGTATAATATGTTATATATAATAAATTATCTTATAAAACTAAATAAAAGAATATATACTTTGTAAAACATGTTAGTATTATGCCCTTTGAAGGCCTAACTTAAAAATGATGTCTCTCGTGGAAACATAATTTGCATGTAGAAGTTAAATAATAGTTAATTATCAGTACTTTAACGTGATATACTCAAAATTATAAACAACGTTGATTCTTTGACATTTTAACCCTTAAAAAATGGTAAAATTTTAAATTAAATATTCCCCTGTACGTTAAAATTTAAAAAAATAATACGTGGATTTATTGCCATTAATAAGGTCTACATTTTATCTTAATTTTAAATCGATACGTTTTTTAAATAAAAATGTTATTAAAAAATATCGAAATTTATCTATTGAATTGCCTGGTTTTAAGAACAAAATAAGTCTACGATCTTTTTGTCCACACACCGTATTATTCAATTATAAAGTTGATATAAAGAAACTTATATTATTACTTACTATAAATTGCAATAAATTGATTTATAAAACTGTATATACATTAATGAAAATAAGAAAGACCTACAAAAATCTATTTTTTAAATTTTACAGGTCTTTGTTTTTAAGATGTTGTTCTATTAATTTAGTAATTTTATTTTAAGTGTTCCAATAGAAGCACTTTCTTTTATATGAATACTAAATCTTCATTTTCATAACCATTTACCTTTAAATATATTTTAATTTTCATAAGAATTACTTAAGAATTCGAATTGTTTTATAAAAAGTGCATCTTGCTTCTATTGCTACACTTTTGAATTATCAAGTAAATATCTCATATTTTTAATAAAGTAAATTTCTATCTACAGTATTTGATCCCTCATTCAACATACCTGAACAATTATACTGATAAAAAGGCCTTTTGGCCAGCGTGGAAGAAACAGTTTATGTGAATTTTTTTCAAATATTCTTTTTTAAACAAACTTTTTTCATTATTTACATAACTAAAGCTATGTCGCTACTATTGAGCTATAGAAATCTATAGGCATCCAACAAATAATGACAACCATAAGATTTTATAAAAAAATGTGTTTCGCGATTTTAAGAGTGTTGTGTGCACTACTACGACTACGAACTCCGTATACACGTAGTCTTCGGTCGTCCTTATTTAAAATTTTTGTAGAACCGGATAAAGTAGTGGATTGTCATTATTCGTTGTACCAATAATCTGGTCGATTTTAAAACTAAATATTTAAATGCAAACAGTAGACTCGTTCTAAAAACCTATTGAAGAAAATTTGGCTAGAGTAACCGCACGGCTGGCTCAAAAAATATAATAAACGATAAATATCAGTCTAGAGTTCTGACAGAAAGTTATATATGTAAGGCCAAACTTTGGTAGAAAAACACTAGCTCTGCGCTAGATTTACGCTAGCGCACAGGTCGGTGGATTATTTTTTTTTAAAGTTCGCATTAAAGAAAAAAATTTACTTTTTAAAGAAAATGATCATAGTAAGCAATAATCTAATCGGAGCACCTAGTGTGCTGTGGAGAATGCCGTGCTCTGATTGGCTTATTGCTTTCTACTCTATAAAAATAAATTAGTCAAAAATGAAATAGGAAAATAAGTATTTTTTTAAACTTATTTAATTAATCTATTATTATTAAATTTTAATTTTTTTAGTTCAAAAATAGTACTAAATAGTAATTATAAACAAAAAATGTAAAATGTGATATTTGCAAAAATGGTGAATGCGCCGGTGTTAAAAATTGAATGATAACTTAATGAAATTTACGATTTAAATAAATAAATTAAATAAACTTTAACAATAATTCGGGGGCGTGTGTTTTGAAATTAGCAACAATATTTTCTATGGAAAATATCCATACTCTTTAAAAATGACTAATTTAATAGTAATTAGTGGCTGCTTTTTCACTTGTATGGTACATTAACCATGAAATACCATGGTATTCCAAAATTTAACATCCAATTATTATGTAAAATTGTCCCCTGAATCCAAAAATTATGAAAGTGGAGCAGTTTTTGAGATATAGTCAATTCCATATTAAATCGAAAATTGACTATATCTCAAAAACCGTTCTGCTTTTTAAACTTTTTCACATAAGAATTTGCTGTTAAATTTTGGGATACCATGGTATTCCATGGCTAACCATGGTACAAGTGAAAAAACAGCCACTAATAAATTAGTCATTTTTCGTAAATTTCATTATCATCCAATTTTTAACAAATTTTACATTTATCTGCTTATAATAACTATTTAGTACCATTTTTGAGCTAAAAAGAATTAAAATGTAAAATTAATAGATTAATTAATTATTCAACAAAAAATACTTTCAACCTATTTACCTATATCTTCAACAAAGTTTAGGTTAAAAATTAAGATTTATAAAAACCTGTAGAGTTTTAAAAATTAAAATTTAATTTAATTTTTTAATTTTAAGACAATTTATTATCATAAAATGTAAGGCAAATTTGTTACCATTTTTACACACAACAAAATATCATAAAATACATTTCATAACCCTAATGGTTATGGTTATGGATATTATAGATATTATTATAACCATAACCACTAATATAAGATTTAACCGTATTAAAAATGTCAACTTAAGCCTTAAGACTTTCAACTTGGCCAAGTATAACTGTTTCAAAAAATGTCAAATTAAGATAGATAAAATGTTCTTAAGAATATTAATTAAATTAATTAAATGTCAACCTTAGCTAGATATAACTGGCTTGAGAATTTGAACTTAAGCCAGATAAAAATGTCTATAGAATGTCAATTTAGTCAAATTTAACTCTCTAAAGAATAATAAAGTTGAATCAGTTATAACTGTCTTAAAAAATAACTTTTAATGTGTTCAGAAAATCAATTTAACTCAGGTATAACTTTCTTGAGAATGTAAATTTAAGTCAGTTATGGCTGCCTTTAGAATGTCAACCTAAGCTAGATATAACTGGCTCACGAATGTAAACTTCATCTGGATAAAACTGTCTTAAAAATGTCAATTTAAGCCAGGTATAACTGTCTTAAAAATGTCAACTTAAGCTAGTTAAAACTTTCTTAAGAATGTTAACTTAGCCAAGTGTAACTGTCTTAAAAGATAACTTTAAATGTCCATAAAATCAATAAAACTGTCCAAAAATGCCAAGTTAAGCTGAATATAACTTTCTTGAGAATAATAATTTAAGCCCTGTCTTAAGAATGTCAATTTAAGTCAGTTATGACTGCCTTAAACATGTCACTCTTAGTTTAATATAACTGGCCTTTGTACTTTACTTCTTGTGGCGTTTAAAACACTTGCCACGGAATACTGTGACCGTCCATCCTGGATTAAATTAATGGCTCTGGCAACATCAGTCGGGGACATATCCATTTTTTAAAGTGAGAAGACACCTCAAAATTAAAACATTAATTTGCAAAAAACAATTCGATAGCTTTTGAAAGCCGTGTATGACATGTGCAAGTATGGGATAATTCAACCAAACTGTCACTGTCATTCTTCATAGCATATGGATGGACCATAGCAACCTTAGTTCTTCATAGAGAAAAATATTGGAAATTGCAATGTTTTTTAAAAAAATCCATATTTTCCACAAAAATAAATATATCGAGGTGAACCAAAAACAAAACTGTTAAGAATAGATGTGACTTGATAATTAAAACTTAATTTAGAACAATATACGATTTTGCCATTCTACAGAGTGTCTTAAACTTATGGTAAAAAATATCTTTTTGTTTAAACCTGTATATTATAAACGTACGTGTATTTTTTAGTAATTTTTTAATATGTGAGCGATTGTCCATTAATTTATCTACATTAATAATATTCGTTTAAATCCGACATCAAATAAAAAAGTTATTTGCGATTGAAATTCATCGAAAATTTGTGTGGATCGATTATTTTGCCTGTGAGTGTATTTATGAGCTGCTATAGTCAATTTTCAAAAAATCAACTTTAAAAAAACCTCCTCCGACCTATGCGCACCCTACGCCAACTAACCTACCGCGCAGAGCGCTACTGTGGAAGCGAGGTTACTTAGAGCCACTTGTTGCGCAAGCTGCCCGTTCTCCTCCCCCACATAAGGTTGTATCATACGATCGTGCCTTGCAGGTGCTGCGCATCGCTGGCCGCCGACTGCGGCGTCAGCTGCGCGGCCGCCGACTGCTGCTGCTGCTGCAGCTGCTGCTCCGCGCCGTACGCGGGCACGTTGATGCCCAGGTTCAGCCCGGGCTGCTGCGCCGTGCCGAGCAGCCCGGCCTGAGCCAGGCTCAGGGTGCTGCCCGAGTGCGGGGCGGAGAGGGGCGGTAGCGAGGGGTTCACCACCAACGCGGTGTTGCTCGATATCGTCGGCGGGCTGTTTTCCTCCGGTGGGGTTACCTAAATTTTTAGATCATCAGTTTTCGGTGTTTTATTATTGGGCCTTTCCATCTCAAATCGACCAGGCAAAAAGGATAGGTCGTTATTTTTAACCAGTGAATTCCAGTGGCGGCTGGTTCTAAAGGGCACAAGGGCACGTGCCCACCCAACCGCCCAGATAAAAAGTAATAAAAGTTATTTGTTGCATTGTGCATTATTTAAGTTATACGTAACACCACTGTAATTACTATTTAAGGATGGTCTCAAACCTTCCTTCCGTCCGCTCAAACGGTTGAATTTAAACCTTCTTTCCGTGATCTTTAGTTATCCTATCAGAACGCGTGTCAGTGTCTCTTCAACAGCGCAGCTTTTATCTGTGTCGGTTTGTTTGATTTCTAACTTTTTTGTCGCCGCGCGCCGTTATTTTTTAAGTTTTAAGTGAATTACGTGTTATTTGAATAAAGCGGATGTAAGTTGTGTGCAAAATCTTTTAAAAAGCCCGATGTCGAAGAAAAATTTTAATTAAGAAAAAAGGAAGACATATTCCCGATCTTCGAGTACACTTCACTTGCGCAGGTAAAAGACGAACTTACAATAGAGTATTCAACAGAAATATCTATGAAAAATACGAGTGGATATGCGGATGTTCAGGAACCAATAAGCTTTTTTGTTTTACGTGCTTAATTTTCAAAAAAAAAAAAAATTACGTGCGTGGAATAAACATGGGTTAGAAGATTTAAAACACATCGCAGAGAGGGCTAAGAAACACGAAAATTCAGTTTCTCGCATGAAAAATAGGAGAGTGGACAAAAATTAGTAGGTAAGTTTTTTGTGCCCACCCTCTTCCAGAACCTAGGAGCCGCCACTGGTGAATTCACTCAATTTTTTTTTAAACAACTTTATAAAGTGTAATTTAGAACTTTTTGACATATTTAACATAATTTTGTCACTCTTTATTTTTTAATTAAACACCCTATGCATTTTTACATATTTCTATTCAAAATAAAATTCTGAATTCATACATATGTCATTTGTCAATTTTTGACAGGTCAAATAATTTTTTTGATTAAATTTTATTTCTATATCTAGTGTGCCTTGAATTGGCTTTTCTGCTTCATGTTGGGCCAAGTAGTCTAGATAAAATACTATTTTATTATTTTTTTGCAATGCTGGTTTTAAGAAGCTTTCAAAACTTTATGCCAAAAATAATTTTTTTAACTTAATAAAACTTTTAAATTTGATACCAAATATTAATGCATTTTTTAATAATATCGTTTAAAAACTCTTAATTAAATTTAAATACTTGATAGATTTTAAAGTGAGTACAGAAGTAAAGGCTTTAAAACCTTTGGGTTTAAAAGAAGTATCAAATTTGACAGTTTGTTAGTTTGTTTTGCTGGTAAGTGAATATTAACATTTTATTTTACTATGAAAACATACGCAAAAACTTTTTATAAAATAAAATAAAAATAATAATTGAGCAAACCAGCAGGGTTTTTAGTCCAGCTGGATTTTTGCTGGATCAACATCAATCCAGCTAGATCCAGCAATTTATAAATTTTTTAAAGAAAATTTTAAACATTAATTTTACCAATTTTTATGTTTTGTTAATTTTTAAACTAAACTAAACTAAATAAAATAAAATTAAAATTTAGCGGTGCCAAGAAAAAACTTATTTAGCATGAAACTTTATCAATCGAGAGGGAAAAGTGCGGTGTGGAAAGGGGTGTAGCACGTGCCGCGTGACAGAACCGAGGATGTTTACGCTATTTACGAATTTACATTTTACTCTAAAATCTTTAATAATTTAATTTATTTGCTTAAGAGCATTTCCGGTGAAACCGGAAGTGACAAAAATATGTTTAATATGTCAAAAAGTTCTAAACTACACTTTATAAAGGTCACGACAGTTTCATGACCCTAGATAAAATACCAAATTTTTGTGATGAACCACGAATTTACTAGAAACTGTAAAAAAATTTGTTGAAAAATAACGACCAAGGGGTAGGTCCATTTGAGATGGACAGATGTTATAAAATAGTGAAAAAAGCCATTCAAGTATACAAAAAGCTTGATTCATTTAAGAGGAGTTTTTAAAAGACAAATTAAAAATAAAATTTACCCACCTCAAGCCCTATACTGCCATTCAAAGCAATCTTAATGGGATTATTATAATTCGTGGAAAAATGCGACAGCCCAATATCCTCCAGGCTACTCTTCCTCCTGCTGTTCCCCACATTCGGCAGACCCTGCCGCAACGAGTTCGATCTCCTCAGCAAAATATCGTCTATCACCCTCAACGAGTTCGACCGCCCCCTTTGGTAACCCGCCACTGTCGGGCTCTCCGGCAACGACAAGGAATTCGACTTCGTGGTGGCCAGTGGCGGCGGACGAGGCGATTGGTACCCCTGCAAGCCCAGACCCGACCCCCTTCGACTTCCCGCCTGAGAGCTGGTGGCCATTTGCTGGAGAAGCGTTTGCGAGCAAAAGCTGATGTTCGACTTGCGGCGGCTGTTGTGCCTCTCGAAAGTTTTTTGAGCAGAAAACGGGCTTGGTCGAACTAAATATCTATGAGCAAAAAGAATATTATTATTTTGTATTAAAACTAAATTTTAAATTTACAAGGTCAAAGGTCAAAGGTCAAAGGTCAAAAGTCAAAAGTCAAAGGTCAAAGGTCAAATGTAAAAGGTCAAATGCCATCACTTACATAATATCACCTTCTTCTAATTTTAAGTCACAGCTAGGATTAATGATCACATAGGAGAGACTATTTCTCTTTTCACTAACATCATTGTAGTCTATGGCGGGCAAGTTAAGGCTCTCCATACGCGACCTCACCAGATTCGCTATTTCCGCCCTCTCGATTTGCTGCTCGTGGTTGTCCTTCGCTTCGTCTACCATATTGATGGAGTACTACAAAAGTAAAATAAAAAAATTTAATAAAAAATACATTTTTTTAAATTTTTTTTAGTTGAGTAAGTAGTAGTTGGTAAATGTTAAGTTTAGATTAGCAAGCATATTAGCGTAATCTAAGATTACTAGATTAGGGGTGACATACACACAATCAAACTTATATGGGTGGTTTTCAGTAATTTTTAAAACTGAAACCTTTATATTAGCCATAATTTTTTTTTACTCTTTACTACAGGCATATTTTTTTATCGATTTATAATAAGAAAAGTTCAGTATCCTATGAATTTATTTTTTAATTTTGGTTTTAAACCTTCTGTTTCACATGACCGTCATATGTACCTCTAGCAAAATCCAATATTTGCGATCTTCTAAAAATTTAATTCAACTTTTAAGTAGCCAAAGAAAATGATATTGAACTAGGGTTGGGAAAATTTCACTTTTTGCTTGTACTTGAAATACACTTGAAATTTTCATGACATTTATGAAATTTATTGAAACTTTCAATAAAACTTAATCACTTTAAGTGTAATATATTAATATTGAAATAAGCCCACTCGGGGACAATGGCAAATTGCCTCTCTTACCCTCTGTGGGCCCCTGCACCAATAATATAAATAGTTAATAAATGTTTACCACAAATTTCTTGAGATATCCTTTATAAATATTTTTAAAATTACTAAAACTAAAAGAGATATAGCACTTTTTGGTATGCTAATGAGATTGTGCCATTTTCATTGTTTTATATTTATTACGAAAATTGAAGAAACTTCATCAAAATTTTATTAGCCAAAGGCATTTTTTATCCGTTTTCCGATGCAATTATAGCAAAAGTAAAAGTATAATTTAATCATGACTTAAAAAAAAAATTTAAATTCTGATTTAATTTACAAATTAAATTGGTAACTGAATTAAATTATTTAAATTAATTTATGCATATAAGTAACAAATTATTCAAATTCAAGCCAAACTTAACAAAAACGCCAAGACGCTTGATAAGTCGTTCTTATTGGTGGATTCGGAATCTGTTGTAAATTATTATTATTAAAGGTCCCAGGGGAGGCCGCATGTGAAATTTATGCGAAATTTTCAGTAAATTGCGAAACTTTCAATGAAATTTCTGAAAGTTTCACAGGCAATGTTGAAATTTTCGGATTGAAAATTTACTTTGAAATTTTTAAAAATTTCACTTTTACAACTAAATGAAATATTTCAAGTTTGAAATTTTCAAAGTTGAAATTTTCATTTGAAAATTTCAACTGTCCCAACCCTATATTGAACAAATGTTGGGTTTTTTGTGTTATAAAATTGTCTTAAATAGCCACTATTGTTAATGTTTAGGCTAAAAATTATAACTGAACGTTTTCCCGGCGTTTTCTTCACATGACCGTAGCCTCGTCTAATTAATGCTAGCATTGATGCTAGAGGTGGCAATACTGATTATTTAATTAACAAAAACCTATTATTTCTTTTTAAATTCTAATGTACCGTAAAGTTTAATCTCAGAGAAATTCATATAAAATTTGTTTTAATATTTTTTTTTGGTAATAAAAAGGTTAGGATAAGGTGTTTTTATTTTCGATTCACTTTTTTTAAGTAAAATACTGTTTCTCGTATTTACTGGGTGATTCCATATAAGATTGGTTGTGTGTGAATATTGTACAGGGTTGACCAAATTAATAAAAGCGTTTAAAAAAAAATTAAAAATTACTTTAGAATAGTAAAAAAGGGCTGTTGACTAGGAAGGCTCTAAAAAGTATAGATACAAAACAGTTTACATAAGGGCTTTTATGTTTTAAATGATCCAGATAAAAACTTTTTTTTTAATTTACCTATTGTAAATTTTTTAGCAAAAGAAAAAAATTCTGGACAATTAAAAGACAGCTCATTAAAATAATAATTTAACTATTCGTTGAATGTAATGAATTCGAAATCTACATGTTAGAAACTCTGATAAAGATTTTGACTGAAAATGATTTCAACTAATAAACTACGATTTCTAAGAGCCCATACCCAGTCACTGTTTCTCCTATAAAAATTCGAGCTCTGAAAAATAATTGTTGTATTAGAGTCATGACGTCAGGATTCCTAAAGGCGGCCGCAATTTTTTATATTGGTATTATAATCATGGAAATTTTAAAAAGCCATATGGATATTAAGTCGGTACCAACAAAACAATAATCTAAAAGTTTTGAACATTTTTACATGTAATTATTTTTCTAAATAAATTACGCCGAAATATTTAATTATAAAAATAAGTAAAAACTTGGTATGACGTTTTAAAATTTTCGTGATTACATGAAAAATCGGGGGCCCACTTCAGAAACTCTGACTCATTATTAAAGCGAAAAAGATAATAAAAGATTATCAATAATAAATATTATAAAATTTTGGTCTACTAACAAAACTATAGTTCTAAAGACTGTACATACTACAATTACTACTCTTCCCTTAACGTTTCTTCTTTTTGTTAACATGTAGATTTCTATACAGATATTCTTGTTCATGTTGGTGTTGGTAGATGTACAAAATGTCCAAATTTTAGAAAAAATTGTATACATGCCTTAGAGTAATTCGTTTTGACGTAACATTTATTTTTTATTACTCCCCACAATATTGATATTATTATTGATTGTATATGAAGAAAAAAAAATGGCCTTAAAGTCTCAGAACTTAATTTTACTCCCAAGTACTTACTTTATTTTAATTTTAAAGTTTTTCCATTAAAATTAAGGGTTGGTAAGCATTTTAAGTTACTACAATTTACCTAGATGCGATTTGTACATGATTGGATGCTTTTTTAAAGTGCACTGGTCATATTATTTAAAAAACATTATGTTTGCATTTTACGCAAAATGGTTAAAGTTACGGGTACAAAGTTAAAATGTTATTTTCAATAATGCAACAAAATGTATAATTTAAAAGATATGGAGAATTAAGCAAAATTTAAGTGTCAAATATTGTTCCATGTTGTTTTATGCATTAATGCAATAAAATGCATAGTTTAAAATAAATAATAGACCATTAATGGTCATAGGACATAGGACTAGTTCATTTATCAATATTTGACAGTAAATTTACTGTCAAATATTGATAAATGAATTAGTCCTATGTTATTTTACGGCACAACGGTAAAAAGCAAATACAAATTAAATGAAAAATTAAATTACCTACCTACAAAAAAGTCATACAAATTAATGCAATAAAATGCATAGTTTGAAAGATATAAAGTATTTCATAAATTTTACTGTCAAATATTGATAAACTAATTAGTCCTATGTTGTTTAACGGCGAAACGGTTAAATTTACAGGTAAAAAGTAAAAAAGATTTCTATAGAATATTTAATTTGCTATAAAAAAGATTTTATGCATTAATCCTATAAAATGCATAGTTAAAATATATAAAGCATTTAATAAATTGAACTGCAAACTATTGATAAAATAATTAGTTTAATCGAAATTTGACAGTTCAATTTATTTATCTACTCCCCCATTGACAAGCTGTGACTTTATGGCGTTTTAGTAACGGGCTGAAGTTAGCAACAGTGTCTTTTGGCCATTTTAGTCACGGGCTGAAGTTAGCTTTATTATAAATTTGGAAAAAATGAGGTTAAATCAGTTGACAGATGTCAAATATATAATTCTTCTTTGTGTTCGTCGTAGATAAAGTATAGTATGCAACTCGTTTTATAAATGGCGTTTATAAAACTTGATTCATAATTATGAATATTATTATATAAATGCTCTTTTAAAAAATTTATATATGAATCTTTTTTATAGGAAATTTTCGTAAATAATATCATAAGGGCATCTAATTTTTCCGAAAAAAAATCGAAAAAACACGTTGCTAAGTAATATTTTAACAAGAAGCATGAGTGCTGATGGCAACAAAAATCCGAGTCGAAGAGGAGGATTTTTGCACCTGCACGAATGCATTTTGTTAAAAAAATATTACTTAGCATTGTGTTTTTTCGATTTTTTTCACAGGAAAAATTAGATGCCCGAATGGTATTTGACAAGACTATTTCATGAGTAACAGTTAACAATTAAAATATAAATTGCAATTTTTGGTGACAACAGCTGTCAAGTTTTGCCGCGGGTAAACTCGAATAAACTGCTGACTGGTGCTGTCACACAGTTTTTTCACCTAGAAACCATTTGTAATTCAAAATTGCACGTTTGTGATTGGTGAAAATTAAGACGAGGGAAATAGTCTATAGACTTATATATAAAAATCTTTTACTTTTAAACTATAACCGTTTTGCCGTAAAAGGCAATAACTACTGTTTTTTTTTATTAAAAATAGGACTTATACAAGTCGAAAGTATAGGTTGTACTGAGAAGCATTTAATTAAGTTTTTTTTATTCTTCCTTTAAAACGCCCATGTTTCCATGTCACTAAGTGAGAAATACACGTTAACAAGTTGTGGCTTTATGGAGCTTTAGTCACGGGCTGAAGTTAGCAAAAGGTTTTTATATAGTCACGAGCTGAAGTTAGTTTTGAGTTAGTTGACAGTTGTCTAATGTCATACAATCGTTAAAATAAAGTGCCTTTCATTTAAAAAAATACTAAATGTGAAAATTATTTTATTATCTTAATACAAAAAGACAAAAGTATAAAATAGTTTCTCAACGCCAATATTTTAAAAGAATAAAGCGTAAAACATTTTGAGTATGGTGCCTATAAAACATTCTCTTCCCTTTTACTGTGAAAAACTGCTTCTATATCAATTGTTAGTCTTATTTTTAAGGAATACATTTTGATTTACACAGAAAAATTCCTAATTTCCAATTTTCAATGGGAAAACTTTACGAGTAAAATTAATGGTTGAAAATTAATATGTAGATTAATATTTTGATTGAGGACTCCTCAATGAGGAGCGAAAAACAATTAATGATCCTTCAAAACGAATCACCCAAATATGCATATATGTAATACAATGCAAAAACCATGTGAAGGCATTTTTATTACTTAAAGCAAAAGTGAGTAAAACTTTTAACTCTCAGCAGCTGCTTTGGACATTTGGTATTGCGGTGTATAATATAACTCACCATCGAGCTACGTCGATTAGTACATCCCAAGCAGTTGGTGCTTTCCTTAGGTCGGTAGGTGACACCTACACGCTCTCCTCCCAAGTCCTCGTCAAGCTAACCAAAATATACAAGCCCCATAGTACGTGCACTACTCCTCGCTTAGTTACTTAATGTTAGTAAGTCAGGTCTTTAAGATGCCTTTGTTAGTTTATAAAAGTTATCACTTTTCTTAAATAAAGTTTCTTACTTGGATATTAAAAATATGTACAATAAATATTAAAAAAAATACACTATACACGGTGGTCAAAACTAAAGTATAGGACGAAGAAAAATGCCAACCAAAACTGATAGCATAATCTGATTATAGACTCTTTTGGTAACACAAAAATGTATTTATCAAAATCCCAGCTGACCCTTTATTAAAGTTTTGCATATTTTTTAGTATTTTAAAATTGTTTATGCCATTTCAATAAAATACTCTAGTACCATTATCAAATGTTTTTAAAAATTTGGCAGATACATGACTAAAATATGGATTAATTACATTATAAATACAAAATAATGTAAAATACAGTTTGCAATATCTTGTTTATTGTTTTAAGGTATCTAATACAAAACTAATAAATAACTAAAGATTCTTTGAAGCAAAATTGATTACTGCTTGCCTTAAATTTTCAGTAAAACTTTTTCTTGGGTTTTACATGGAATTGTTTTTAACATGGAAACAGTATTTTTAAATTCTTTAGTCTCTGTACAAACATGCTTCTTACATCTAGCGATATCCCCTAGAAAGGAAGAGCATATCAAAACTTTAGTTCGTTCGTCCGTCCTCTTCCCTTAATAATTTATGCCCATTATATCTTGCCATTTTGCAGATAAAGCACATACATTCTTGGCTGCCGCGAAATTCTCTAGCAATTTCTAAATTTTGAAAATTTGGCAATTGTGGCTATGGAAAAATACCGTTTTTACCATATTGAAGTAGGTAATTTTGAATTACTTAAGTTAAAGTGTTCGTTTGAAAAAGTCTGCAGTAATTTTTATATTTTCTCAGAAAACCTGAACTCTGAATTTTTCGATTACCATAAACAATTTTGTCTCCACAGTCAGCACAAAGCTTTTTTCGATTTTCTTCATGGCTTAAGCCAAAAAAAAAATTGCTATACGTTATAACGAAAGTGATATTTTGCTTTAGTTGTTTATTTAATGTATAGGTACTTAGTTAATTAACTTGAATTTCGGTTTAATTTTCATTTTAAAATACTATTTTTAACTTTATTAAGTACCTATACATTAAATAAACAACTAAAGCAAAATATCACTTTCGTTATAACGTATAGCAATTTTTTTCATACCCACCTTAATTATTGTTTGACAAAATTTGCAAGTTGTAATTATTTCATAGACAAACTTCCAGTACGTTTTGTTATAAAAAATATTTAAGATATAAATCTTCGTTTTTTTTTGTTATGTTTTGTTTTGAGTGGTAAAAAATAATGGGTGACTCAATAAATTAATACTGGGGAGTAAAGTAATTTAAATGATACATAGTTTATTATTTTGCTTAATTTTATTAAAATTGTACAGGTAGTTTTAGTACAATAATTGCAAAATAATATATAGATATAGAAAAACAAAAAAGTTTGCAAAACTTTAAAATAGGATCAGCTGGGATGTTGATAAATACATGTTAGTGTTACGAAAAGGTTGGCATTTTTGTTCGTCCTATACTTAAGTTTTGACCACCGTGTATAAGTATATATATACATATATCTACATGTAAACAAAATAAAATTTATTTATTAATAGATGCAATAAATATGACAATTAAGCATATAAACATATAAAATACAAGAAAAAATAACAGTTTTAAGAATCAAAATATACAAATTTTATATTCGAAAATGGCGCCATAAGTTACAGCAAAAGTATGGAACAAATTCACAAGATATTCTAATCTTGATAATCTAAAAAAGCATTTAAAAAATAAAACCCTTAAAAATTTTCGATTAAAATATAGTTAATTATACATAATAAAACCTATTAAAAATATTAAAAAAAAATACAACATTTTACATTTAATTGGTTAATGTATCCCTTAAAAGCAGTTTTAAAATAATTTTCATAAAGATAACAAAAAAAATTTTATTAAAAATTAAATCACTTTTAAATTTAATAATACCCAAAACTATCATCCCAAAAGGTATACATATATGTGCATATTGCTGAATTCAGAATTTAATATATTAAATTAGAATAGAATATATTCTATTCGAATCTGTAAAAAAACAATTAAAAAAACGGCAATAAAAAGCAAAATTGACGTGTTTAAGGAATTTTTTTTCATTTCATTTTATAATGAATTTGTTCCATACTTTTGCCGTTCACTGTATGTATGCATCGTATATCATTGGATAAAAAATAAAATGTAAATGCTAAGCAGTTTTGACCCCATGTAAAATGTGCTCTAAAATCACCATTGAATGAAATTGACTAAAAAGTTAAATAACCCCGGCATTATCCAAGGAATTTTCATGTTAACATGATATCGCTTTTGTTAACACCCTAGGTAATAAAACATATACGAAAAGTGTAGGAAATCGTGTGTAAAAATAGACCTTTAAAATTGCATTCGTCCAGTCATTCGTGCGCTCATATGCTTAAAACATGCCAAATATAATATGTAGAGTATAAAATATCAAAAAGCTGTTAAATGCCACGTTGCCTTGTGCGTGTGCTTTCGGTTGAGACACAATACGAAGATGCTTAAAGCTTTTTGAAAAGCTCAATCACATAAAAAAGTTAATTCAATTTTTTAGCACATAGCTAAAAGTTTCTTAGTTTATCAAATTAAATCACAATGGGGTGTATGTACATTTTTATACACAGGGTGGCCCAACGAAAAATATATACAGGGTGTTCCAGCCAATACCGAGAGCTCTCGCCTAGGTTAAAAATTGCTAGGAAAAGATTATATGTTCCAGAAGCCTTTTTGGTCTGTTCTGATGTTTTGTGCTCCTCTAGTTTCATAGTATATGTTCAAACTTGTTTTAATGTCTTTGTTTTTTATCTTATACCGCATTTTCATTTTACATGTAGACAGTCTGCATTCGGTTTTTAAGAGTGAAAGAATAATTTTTAAGAGTGGGAGACCCCGAGAGACAGTTTTAGTAATTCATCAGCATATCTTATGATACAAAGATCTTTGTATCATGAGCATATCTAATCTATGTTCATCAGTTGACCCTTCACCGGCGTTAGGTTATAGTCGAAGTTTGCTCTGGATTATTAATACGATAGACGTATTAAGTTAATTTACTTTTAAAAATGATTCAGATACTTAAAATATAACGTAATAGTTATTTATGTCATTAGGTTAAGAAGTAAGGCTTTTTGTGCTAAGCTCAAGGTTTGAAGGCCGATGCGTAGCGGAGGCCTACAATTGAGCGAAGCACAAAAAGGCACTTCTTGGCCGAATGGCATACAACATTTTATCTTTAAAGCACTTTATATAAGTCAATTTAATTCAACATCAAAGCGGCCTAACCTCACTTTTTTAGAATCTCATTTATCTATTAGCTAAAGATTACATTAAATGTACAATATTTATTATTGCTTTTAGAAGCGGTAATAGTTTGACAATAGCTAGCAACATGATTTAAGTAGAAATGGATTTTTGCTATTACATTGAATTAATTGTTTAATAAATAGGTAGGTATCTAATTTCAATTTGTTTGGATTTTTATTTAAAAAATAGGTAGTTTGGAATGTTTAAGCTGTGATTAACATTTAATTTCACTGAAAACTTAAAGCAAATTAAAACTTAAAGATAATTTAAATCGTAGGAAAAGAATCGTGCGTTTTCTTGTTTGCCTAACCTCACTTTTTGTTTTATTATTCATATTTAATTTTACAATAATTTAATGAAAAATATTAAACATTAACAGTAAAACAAACAAATAAGTGCTTATTATAAATAAATTAAACCAGTTTAGTACGTTAATTTCTTAGAAAAGGATTAATTTGTCAAAACAATACCCCTAGCGAGAAAAAATCGAACTAATTACTTGCCTCATAAAATTTTTTATCGGCCTAGGCCATAACAAGGTATTTCTTTATCGAATGTTGACAACAATAAAGTTTAAATTATAGACCGCGTGGAGATAAACACTTTTAACAGTAAATTATTAATTAAAAGGTGTAAAATCATTATTTGTTTTGCATTTAACTAAAAGTCTTTTCTTAAAAAAAAAACGTAAAAAACATAAAAAATTATCTTGAAAACAAATTATAATAAATAAATCAATTCTCTTAAAATAAAACTAAAAATCAAACTTCTTAAAATAAATTATTTAATTAATAAAAATAATAAATTATTATTTGCACACAAGCTTTAAATAATAAACTGAGAAAAGGTATCTTGTTTGACGTAGAGAATTGCCCACTAAAGACCAGCTTATCATGTCAATTTTCTCTTGCAATTTGTCCTATAGGACATTAAAATTTATAATTTTAAATAAAAGAAATTAATTTATGTTAAAACCCTTGAAATACACAATAGCAAATGCAAATTATAACGGCTTCACTCGAGTGTATGTTTCAAATAAAAATGCGAAATACTAATTTGCACAATTCGAAACTAATTAATTGTTTAATATTCATTTTAATATTAATTGTTTAATAATTATTTTATAAAGGTCTTTAGTCGGTGTACGGTAAATTAAAAATTGCTTTTAGCGCTTTATTTTGTAGTCTTTGAATTCGGTTTAGATTTCGTTGGGATGTATTTGACCATATTGCTATGAGATAACTTAAGACTGATTTAATATGTGAGCATAAGTATAAGGAATCTGCAACTCTCTATCAAATATTCATTTACCCGTCTAAGCGCACCAACCAAGCCCCTAAGTTTGTAATATATTTCACGAATATGTTCATTGAAAGTCAAGTTTTGATCAATTGTTAATCCAAGATTCACTTTATGGTTGTTTTTATTTTTTAAGCTAAACTGCATATATACAGTTTTTATTTCATTCACTGCTAATCCATTTGCTCAAAGCCAATTAGGGAACCTTTTTAGATCTTCATTAATGATGTTTTCTATTGTTTTCATATACTCATGATAGTACAAGAGGTTTGTATCATCTGCAAACATGTAGTGTTCTCCTAGTAAACCAGCTTTTGTTAAGCTTTCTACATATAATAGATACAGTATAGGGTCCAAAACTGATCCCTGAGGTACACTGCTGCAGTTATTAGTGCTTGTATACTGTTTTTTGTCATGGAGGTAAGTTCTTCCTATAAGCAATATAGCTGGTCCTTGAATACCATCCTTTTCTAATTTTTTTAAAACGTTTTTTTCAGATCAACAAACACTACTATAACTTTAAGTTTAACCCATACTGTTTAGATGATATTTCAAAGAAATTTATAAATCTTATTTTTAATAACTTTTCAATAATTTTAGGGAAAATAGAAGTAATAGATATTGGACAGTAGTTTCCTGGATCTTCTTTACTACCTTTTTTATATATAGAAAGAACCTTAAATATTTTACATTTTTCAGGAAAGCAGTTATTTATACATCTGAGTAAGGTTTCTTTTATGGTAGGATAAATCTCTTTAATATCTTTAGTAGTAATATTATCATCATCTGAGGAGTTACGAGAGTTAAAGATGCGATAAATTTTCCTAATTTACTCATTGTACAATGAGACATAAAAATAGTTTTATTATTTGTAACTTCTTTAAATGTTATATCAGGTGTTATTATATCTTTTTGCAGTTCTTTAGCAGCTTCAGTGAAGAATTTATTATAGATAGATAATTACAAGTACAATCTAAACAAATTTATATTTCGGTGCCAGTGATTCTATCTTTATTTTTTATTGAGTATGTTTAAATATTTAAATAAGAAACTAAGAAAATTGAATTTTTACCTTAATGTTTAGCCCAGTTGGGCTAATTCTAGATTCCTTTCGGCCATATTAGTATCTGTGATACAATTTGCCGTGTGCAGTCTTGGTTGCATAATATGTACCGATTGCGACAAAGGCCACGTCGTTAGACGGTGTGGATCACGTGATGTTCTTACATCTCGCCTCTGTTGGCTTACCAACCCAGCATATAAGCTCATTGAGTCTTTTGTTTTGGGTGTGTTCCACTACAGCAAGTTGCCCGACACTGATGAGACCCAATATAGGTCGAAACAGTGTCTGTCGGTATTTGAAGTTGGTGGAACGCACTCAAAACAAAAAACTTTTTTCTTGTATATATTATTATTATTATTATTCCTAGCAATCTCGCTTATCCTTTCCGTTAGATCATTTTAATTTTCAAGCATAACTTTCGTTCACTTTTTCTCGGTGGCGCGAGTTCTGGGACACCCTGTATACGATTTAAAGAAATATTTTTTTTTAGTATTCCGGGAGCCTGATTTCTTTTTAATTGATCCCCCATTGAAACATAATATAATATTAAAATAATTCAAAATTTGGTTCAGTAATATCGATTTTATTTGTGTCGGTATGTTGTAATTAGTAAAGTTAGGCAACACGATACATGTGCACGTCACTTCGAGTTCAACTTGACGTTATTGGAATTGAAGTTGTTAACTTTAACATTAGCAATTTAGGTTTGCGGTTGTTTGTTTCAAGTTCTGTAAATTTTGTTTGCAATCGTATGCAAGATCACGTACAGGGTTACATCGATTTACTTAGTAATCTATAGAGTGTTTCGACAAAACTAGTTTTAGTAGGTACTATGCTCCACACCTCAAAGTCCCACCACGTGACCACGTAAGGAACGCAGTCTTTTGAAAATTTGGCATTTAAGGCTTTTCAGGTTATGTATCTGTCAAAGTATAGTCACCGAAAGAAATAATATTATGTTTAGGCGTTAAAAATGTATAAATCTTTATAACATTACAATAACAATGGATGGTTAAGAATTTAAGAATATAAATACTGCATTTAATGAAATTCTAAAATGTATGGTGCCAAATAAGTAATATTTTTGTGCATTTGGTCCAAATATCTGGTTTTCTCCATAAAATAATTTTAACTAAACAGTATTTATTTAAAAAAATCTAGCTTCTCTATTATGGAATAAGAATATCTGTATTAAAGGTAGGTTAATATATTATAACAACAATATCATCTAATTTTGTAATTTTAAGGTTAGAAAATTTATTTTGACCAAAATAAATAAGTATTTTGGATTATTTAAAAGACTGTATAATATGGTATTTAAAAATGTGGTAGTTTTTCTTATCCAGCTTAAAGTGTACCTACATAAAGTTTTGTCAATACAAATAGTTAAAAAGCTTCGACTGAATTTGATCTACATCAAAAAATCATTATAACTTTAAAAATTTTAATAAATCACATGTCATGGGGGTATTAAATATTTTCACATTGCAAGTTTCTCTAAAAATTGTTTGTTTTCTTATAATCTAACTTAAAGTAAGTATGCCGAGAGGTATGCACAAGTTTTGTCGTTAGAAGTATAAAAGCTTCAATTTAATTTGAACTATATTCAACAATTATTTAGTATACCTATATTTATTTATGACCTTATTTATTTTTGTCAAAATAGATTTTTCTAACCTTAAAATACAAAATTAGATGATATTTTTCGTTCTTATACATTAACCTACCTTTGATACAGATATTCTTATTTCATAATAGAGAAGTTTTTTTTAATAAATGCTGTTTAGTTAAAACTATTTTATGGAGAAATGTTGACCCAATGCACAAAAATATCTCTTATATTGCACCTTACACTTTGGAATTTCATTAAATGCAGTATTTATATTCCTAAATTCTTAAACCAACCATTGTTATTGTGATACTATAAAGATTTATTAACTTTTAACGCTTAAACATAAGCGGTAACACTATAAATATTATTTCTTTTATTGACTATACTTTGACAGATACATAACCTGAAAAGCCTTAAATGCCAAATTTTCAAAAGACTGCGTTCCGTACGTGGTCACGTGGTGGGACTTTGAGGTGTGGAGCATAGTACTCTGCATATAAACAAAAGTATTTTACTGAACCAAATTGTGCAAAAATCACAGAAAACTTTAAAATGTAATTTTTACAAAATGTTAATCTTGTACAGTTTGTTTACTCACCGAAGGCACGCGAACGCAGCTAGACCAATTCGAAGAGGCTACGCTCATACTCACATGCGAGGAATCCGAGATCGAGGTGTCTTGCGTGCGGTAAATGCCGATGGGGATTTCGCACGTCGTAGAGCAGAGTTTTTGGTAGAGGCGACCGTAGGTCCGGATCCACATGTCATCCTTTGATATACGCATCTACCGGGCAACAAAGTTGGTACATTGAGATGTCCAAATTTAAAATTAAGTTAATAATTATATTGTTGATGGTAAGATGAACTATAGTCAGCAAAAGAACATTTGACCCGTTCAACTGGGCCTGTTGAATTGATGTGGCTGATACCTTTACTTATAGAGTTAACAAATAAATTTTGCCGATGCATTCTAAGGAAGAAAGGAAGGAAGGAAGGAAGAAAGGAAGAAAGAAGGAAGGTAAAAGAAAGGAAGGAATGATAGAGGGAAGGAAGAAAGAAAGGAAGGAAGAAAAGGAGAAAGGAAGGATCCAGATGTCGTCTTTTGATATATGTAGTCCAAATAAAAAATTAAGTTATGATTAATTATATTGTCGATAGTAAGATGAACAATAGTCAGCAAAATAACCTGATACGCTCAAGAGAAAAGATGAGCCAGAATATTGTTCATTTGCTTTTTGAATTGATGCGGCTGGTCAGTTTACTTATAGAGGGAACAAATATATTATACGTTTGTGAATCTGCTATTCTAAATCACAAAACGTTTAGTGTAGGTGAAATTTTGGTAAAACATGTTTTCAGTGTTTCAATAAAGATGCATTCTAAGGAAGGAAGAAAAAAAGGAAGCAAGAAAGGAAGAAAGGAGTAAATAAAGAATAAAATAAAAGAATACAGGAAAAAAGGAATAAAGTTAGGAAGGAAGGAATAAAAGAAGAAATATTCAATCAAATATTTTCCAGATGGAAACAAATCGAAAAGAACAGCGTTACATCCACAGTTTTACCAAAATCTAGGGAAGTATCTTTAAGAAATAGTGGATAAGCATCAAAAGGATTGGGATGAACACCTTCCTTTATTTCTCATAATAAAAGGTGTCAGTAAAATTTACAGGGACCTCTATTAAAAAAACAAAGTATAAGGACAGTACAATTAAATGTGGGTGAATATTTTAAAACTGTCGATTTTCGGAACCATTTTCGTTAAAACATAACAAAATTGCAAATCTTATTAATTTTGCACTTTTAGGACTTTTCCACTCATGAACATAGGCATGAAGACTAAAAACGTATTTTTTTTGTCTTTTTTAGAAAGTTGAACCCACGGTTTTATTTGGTCATCTCTTATCAACTTGTTTCGTGGTTTTGTCATTTTAATTAATTTCCCACTGAAATTAAATATTTTAAATTGGTTACATGTAAGGGACACGACAATGACAAGCACGGTAATTATGATTTTAAGGTTAGAGTGTTTTACAATGTTTATTCGAAAATGTAATGGAATTTTCAAGTTACCATTTGCTTTTTGTTAAAGCTTTGTATAAATGTAAATATTTTGTATGTCCATAAATAATACTACCCCGACAATGACGGACTTAAACGTAACAGGCCGTTTTCGTTTTCATTCTGCGCACGTCACAACTTATGGTTTGACATATGCTAGTGAACGTTAGACAGGCAGGATATTTCCATATCAGACGTTCGAAAGCTTTCGGCTTTTTCCGAATGTATCGCGTATTTAAATATGAAATTAGACACATTTTAAGTAGCCACGGCAATGACGCTCATGGGTGTGAACAAAGTTTAAACAGCATTAAAAGAAAAGTTAACATTTTAGAATGCAATTTCTTGCTTGAATTGTATTATTTTGTATTTTCTTCGTCTGTGTTAGGCAGGATATTGCAAGATTTAATTTGTAAATAAATGTAAGAATATAATATGTTGTTGTTCTTTGAATGTGAACAAGGCACGGTAATGACGTTTGCGACACAAAAATTAAAATATATTTTTTACTATGCTCGTTTAGACTAAGGAATCAAGTAAAAATAGTTAATTAAACTAGACATCAAGTATTTTATTCTCAGTGGGATATTAACTTTTGAAATAACAAGCCAAACCGATTGAATTACACTTTTGAAGTATTCACCCATGTATCTATTTTTTTACAATTTGTAGTAATTTTTTTTGTTCGACGGTTGAGAAAGTTGGTCATTTCCATGAGGTTGAACTATTGCTTATTATTATATCGTCGATAGTAAGATGAACAATAGTCAGCAAAAGAACCTGACACTCTTAAGAGTAAAGATGAGCCAGAATATTGTGCATTTGCTTTTTGAATTGATGCGGCTGATCCGTTTACTCATAGAGGTAACAAATACATTCTGGTTGCAAGGGTATACTTGTGGCTGAAATTTTGGTAGAACAGTGTTCCAATGAAGATAAATTCTAAGAAAGGAAGAAATTAAGGGTGACAAGAAAAAAAGAAATGCGATTTTTTCTAGTTAATTCAATTTTTTAAACTTTAACATGGTTTAAAGAATTAAATTGAATATCTTGGCATTTAATAAGGAAAGTATTTTTATTCAAACCAATCGCTCCATTCGCAAATTTACAAATCAAGATTTCAAAGAAAATATATGCAAATTTTTTAAAGCGAGCTCTGATTAATTCGAGATTAAAAATCGTTCTCTAACACAAAGCAATTTTAAATTAAGTTTGTCTTGTTTTTTATTATTAAAATGCAAATTTAATATTCCAATTTCATATTTAATTTGACTAACATTATAACTTGATGATGTTTAATCGAGCATAATTACACAGTAAAAAAAAATCTAAGCAACACTAATTAGAGGTCACACAGGTCCACACTAAATAGTGTTGTTTTATAACACTACAATTAGAGTTAATTTGTAAGCAAGTATGATTTAACACTATGACACTGAGGATAAAGTAATTTTACACTGTATTAAAAAGTGTTAATTTACCTAAAATTGTGTACTTCTACACTTCCTGGGTAAAATCCCACTTTTGTTCAGTGTAAATTAACACTACTTTGGAAAAGTTCTAATTTTAGAAAGGTACTTTTACTCTTTTAGTGCAAACTTCTAGTGTAAATTAACACTATTATTTGAGTAAAACCCATTGGTGGTAGTGAATAAAACGAAAAGGTAAATAAAGAGAAACATTTATTTGGAACAAAAATCTATGACAATTATCAAAATCGGTGCCTTTTAAAATATAATTTTATATTTGAGTCGTATGGCTGGCTTAAGCAAAATGGTTCCTTAAAACGTAAAAGTTTTAGATCAATGCAATGTTTTACTGGCTGTCAACTTGTAAGCAATGAATTATCTTGAGAATTCATCAGTAATTCATTTTTCTGTTATAAAAAATAAGTGATTCCCATAGGTAGAGAGGCGTCAGGCGGCTGTATGTCGGGGATTTACCACACGTGTAAAAATATTCCATAATATTAATAAAAATGTAGTGTGTAAGGAAGTATAATACTTACCAAAAAATAAGAATGTCCCCTTATGGATTCACCGTAATTAAAATCTAACTGAACAAAAATGCCACACTTCTACAACGCGGTATCTCTGGATATGCACTGCGTAGGTAGATAGGTACTAACCAAACATTTTAAAACGCATTTCGGTTATTACCAGTTTTTTCAGTATATTTTGCCACTATTGGTGTAATTTAACTTTAATTGTGATATAATGTGCATTAGAAGTGTAAAGAAAAAAGAGCTCTTAGTAACATCAAAACAAACAAAGAAATTGGCATGCACTGTAGTGTACATTTTGTCACTATTTAGCACATTAAGGGGTAATAAACACTCGCATTAAGTTTTTCTAACCTTTTGCTTTATTTTAATAATAAATATTGTGAATGTACCAATGAATAATGTTCATATTCTTCAAATGTGTTTAATAAAGTTAATAAGCACTAAATGCTACCTAGTGTTTTTTGTAGTGTAACTTTTACACTTACAAATCAACTCTAATATTTTTACCCCCAAACTAAAAAATTTACACGGGCAAAATTTTTTACTGTGTATATTTATCTAAATTTTTATATTCTACTTACCGACGTTAGGAACCCAGATCCAGGTGCTTGGTCCACGCCTAGCAACAGCCTCACGAAAGTGATGACGTAGTCTTTGACAAACGCTTGGTAAAGCAAAGTATCCAGCATGCTGGCGCTAAAAACGCTTCCGGCGGCGAAGGGCAGTCTGAACATGTACGATATGTGCGAACCGCGTTCTTTTTCCCGCTAGAAACAACAAATCAATTTGCTGCACAATACAGTACTATTTTTGTCAAGTATACCTCTCGTCACAATAGTACCGGCACTTTGCAATTTAAAACACGTGAACAAATTTTTGCTTTTGTTATGTTGGTACAAACACATATTAGAAATATTCCCCAACACCAAAAGCTCAGTTTTATAAAATACATTGCTAGAGACAATGGTTTTGAACCCACCCTAGAAAATAAGTAACACACTTTAGACTCTTTTAGGCAACCCAAAAGATAAGATTCCTAAAATTGAAAAGTCGGGGACCTACAAAATAAACTTTTAATATTGTGATAAGAAATATGTTGGACAAACTAAATGATCCATCCAAGAAAGATTCAAAGATTCAAAGAGCACTTGGCTGTGTTCAGAAAATAACGGGAATTGTTAAATTACGCGGGTTCGGAGGGTCCGGTTGTCATAAAATTTTCTTTATTATGTTGGTATACATGCCCCCGAAGTATGATAAAAACTTTAGCTGTTTTCATTGTTTACTTTATCTGTGGCAGCCGCTCAGGTTAGGCGTGTTTTATCAGCTCGGCGATTTTTCGTTCGTTAAAAGAAATGGATGAAAGAATTTGTATCCAATTTTGCTTAAAAAATTAAATAAATTCTGTGAAATGTTAACAAAGGTCTACAGTGAGTCTGCTATAAGTAAAACAAGAGTTTACAAGTGGTATATGAGTTTCCAAGATGGCCGTGAAGACGTTGAAGATGACGAACGCACCGAACGCACAAGCACATTAACAACCGATAAAAACATGGAAAAAGTGGAAGAAATAGTTATAAACCATCAGAGAAGTCGCTGATGATGTTGGTATATCGATTGGCTCATCCCATAAAATTTTTTCGAATGTTTTGGGTATGAAACGCGTGGCAGCAAAATTTGTTCTAAAATTGTTAAATTTTGAACAAAATTTTTGGCCAAAAACAATAATGCCTCTGTCTGACTTTTTCCTATTCCCAAAAATAAAGAGAACCTTAAAGGGCCGTCGTTTTGCAAGCATATATGACATTAAAAGCGCATCGCTGAAAGAACTAAAGGCTATCTTAAAGATCGAGTTTTAGAAGAGTTTCGAGTATTGGAAGAAGAGCTGGCACATGTGCATAATATCCAATGGGGACTATTTTAAAGGTGAAAACATTAATGTAGACGAATAAATAAATATTTGTTTCAAAAAACGAAAATTCCCGATATTTTCTGAACACCTCGTACTTGATGATAATCATAGAATAGGATTTGACAACCTTAAACTTATTAAGAAAGATAGGGAACCAAATCTGCTAGATAATTTTCAAAGTTTATACATCTATAAGAATATAAATAAATCTTTAAATAGCGATAACTCTAGTTTGTTAGTTTCTCTGTGTTACGGTCCACGGTTTAGTAAACAGTGTCCGTTTACTGTTCAGTCAACCTTAGCTTGTAATTAGTAAAAATATGGTAGATTTAGCACTTAGATTTAGTTACACTTCGCTTCTGAAGATGCAAAATCGTTGGCGAAAAGTACTTAAAACACTTTTTGTTTTGTTTGGGTGTTGGAAAATATTTCTAAAATTTGTATAACATATCACCAAAGTTTTCCTTTTTCAAGTATATGTTGGCACAACTTTTAGCTACGTCTGGTAAAAATATCATTATAATCTGTCAAATACTTTTAAAATGCTTATAAGAAACTCTACCATATGAATGTTACAAAAATGTAAAAAAAGGGATCAAAGTGGAAAATCGCGATAAAAAAATCTTTATTTGAACGTAAAAAAGATTGCTATTGATATTGGCGTATCAAAATATCCATATTATAAATCATGTTCCAAATGTCAGTTTCAAAGAAATTATTAAATTGATTAATGAATACGAGGTGTGTTCAGAAAATATCGGGAATTTTCGTTTTTTGAAAAAAAATATTTACTTATTCGTCTACATTAATGTTGTCGCCTTCAAAATAGTCCCTATTGGATATTATGCACATGTGCCAGCTCTTTCTCCAATACTCGAAACACTTCTAAAACTCGATCTTTGGGATAGCCTTTAGTTCTTTCAGCGATGCGCTTTTAATGTCATCTATGCTTGCAAAACGACGGCCCTTTAAGGTTCTCTTTATTTTTGGGAATAGGAAAAAGTCAGACAGAGGCATGTCTGGCGAATATGGAGGCTGGGGCATCATTACAGTATTGTTTTGGCCAAAAATTCTGTTCAAAGTTTAACGATTTTAGAACAAATTTTGCTGCCACGTGTTTTATAACCAAAACATTCGAAAAAATTTCATGGGATGAGCCAATCGATATACCAACATCATCAGCGACTTCTCTGATGGTTTATAACCATTTTTTCCACTTTTTCCATGTTTTTATCGGTTGTTAATGTGCTTGTGCGTTCGTCATCTTCAACGTCTTCACGGCCATCTGGAAACTCTTATACCACTTGTAAACTCTTGTTTTACTTTTAGCAGACTCACAATAGGCCTTTGTTAACATTTCAGAGGATTTATTTCATTTTTAAAGCAAAATTGGATAAAAATTCTTTGATCCATTTCTTTTCACGAACGAAAAATCGCCGAGCTCATAAAACACGTCTAACCTTAGCGCCTGCCACAGACAAAGTAAACAATGAAAACAGCTAAAGTTTTTATCATACTTCAGGCATGTATACCAACATAATAAAGAAAATTTTATGACAACCGGACCCTCCGAAACCGCGAAATTTAACAATTCCCGATAATTTCTGAACACACCTCGTAAACTAACCACCATTTGTGTTTTATTAACAATTTCCCGGTACTTTTGGGACAGACGGTACATACAATTACAATTGAATGTGATATCCAGAGATCATATTTTGTTATATAGTGTTTGACAATTTTTTGCAAAATATTAAGTTCTAGACTCTACCACAATCCATACACATTGCGGACTCTACATTGTAGACTGATCGACAGTCCATTTTTTGTAGAAAGAAGGTTTTTCAATTACACACATTTTGATATTTTCCGCCATTTTTGTAGAATCTCTGACGTAATCTCTCCCTTTTTTTTAGAGATTCAAATAGATTTTGTAATTGTAATTTCAGCAATATGCACATTTATACCTTTTGGGCTTATAGTTTCGGAGATATTAATTATTAGAAGTGGAAAATTTATAGTTTTTAATAATGTTTTGATGTTTTATAGTTTTTATTAAAAGAGTTTTTAATGGAGTTTTAATAAAATTTAGTGTTCATAAACTTTCCCAAAATATTTCATTTCAAGGCCAAACTTTTTCAGTTATTCGATACATGGAAGTTTTTAATTTAATATTTCTGTGTCACAGTAATAAAAATTAGTAAAAAAAAGTAAAAGAGGTTATGTTCTAAAAACATACATTTATTCCCCTGGGTCACACGTCTCCTGGATCACATATTGTGTGACGCAGGGAAAAGTTATGTGACCCAGGGGACAATTCCAAAGAAATAAATTATAATATATTTTTGAAATAATAATAAACTTATAGGAAAGTTTTAAAAACATCTTTTTTTGTCGACCTTCCACCTTTTCTGTGTCTGACAGTATATAGCCAATTTAAAATATTGTTCTCCACCTCTTTAATAGTAATTTTCCTAGTAAATGTATTTTGCCTCACAGAAGCTGGAAAATTTTTTTTGTTAGTTCAACGGGACAATATTTATATTGACTTTTTATTAATATTTTATTAATATTACTAATAACTGGGCCCAGATAAAAAATCGAGAAAAAACGTTTTTAATACGCATTAAAAGAAAATTTCTTAAAGTTACTTTTTTTTAATGGACATTTTTTAAATACAGAAAATATATATAGGTACCTATGTATGTAAGAAAGTTGAGAAATAGAACATAGTTTTTGCTTTTACTTAGTTTTGTACTCAACATTTTTTTATAAATAATAAATTTATGTTCTTTTTTAAACAAATCCTAGTGTAAATAAAACCTTCCCAGCAAACATTAATCAGCGGGCGACGGTCGGCAACACGATTATCTTTTTTAGACGTCGGCGCGACGTTTGGCCAACATTATTTTTTTGGACGGCAAAGCGTTAGTAAATGATAATCGAAACACAACATACTGCCGCCGTCGGGCCAACATTGGCATTTGATTATACGAATAAAACAGCAATTTTACGTTGGCACTTTTTTGCTATATTATGATGGTATAAACTAACTTTTTTTCAACATAAAATAAAATTGTTTTAAAATATATATTTTGGGCCTAAAAACTTTAATAAGTGGCATTAAGTCGGTCCGACGTCGGCAAGACGATCATTTTCATGTCGGCTGGTGATAATGTTGATACATAAGCCCGCCGTTCCCTTAAAAACATCGGCCCGCCGTGGTTTAAAGACATCAGCCCGCCGTTGCTTTAAGACATCAAATTACAACATACAACCGCCGTCAGGCCAACGGTGGCATTTGATTATACGAATAAAACAGCAATTTTACGTTGGCACTTTTTTGCTATATTATGATAGTATAAACTAACTTTTTTCAACATAAAATAAAATTGTTTTTAAAATATGTATTTTTAGCCTAAAAACTTTAATAAGCGGCATTATGTCGGTCCGACGTCGGCAATACGATCATATTTCCATGTCGGCTGGTGGTTATTTTAATACATAAGCCCGCCGTTGCCTTAAAAACATCGGCCCGCCGTGGTTTAAAGACATCGGCCCGCCTTTGCTTTAAGACATCAAATTACTACATACGGCCGTGTTTAGCCCAATTATGACGTTTGATTATAATAAATATTTATTGACTCGCCAGGATGATTAACAAGTATTAACAGGTATTTTTTTATGATGCAACTTTAGTTTTTATGATGCTACTATAGTATCCTACTATTAGTAGGTATCTTAATATTGCTGTACTATAGATATCTAACATATGTTTCTTGCGCTACACCAGTGTAGGTCCGGACCTATTAATACAATTATTGTTTTTAGAAATTTTTAGAAAATTCCTTTTTATGAATTGTTAATGTTATCAAATATCTGCATACAAATTTTTTTTATCAATACCAAATACATAATAATTATTTAAATAAAAATTACTAATTTAAAGTTTTAACGTTGAGTGGTTTTAAGGTTAGAGCACAATTTACAGTGTTGCCAGACAGCCGTGAAATACTCAAATTTTGAGTCTATTAATAAAATTTAGTTACTTTTAATGAACAATTGAACAATTAATACACTTATAAATTACACTAAAAATTGAAAACTTACGCGTAAAATCATTTTCAAGGTTATAATTATGATTAATCATCTGCACAATGCAGCACCAAAGCTTTGGAAAGTATAATATACTAACTAATTTTTAAAGAAAGTTTCTCATAAAATATTTCTGGAATTTTTAAAATGTATTTGGCGTTATTAATTGTTTATTTATTAATAATACAAGACCATAAAAATGTAAATGAAATAATAAAAAATTTAATAAGAATTTGGCAACGGCGCGGCAGTGTCGTGTTCTGCATGGTGCGTATATAAACTGCGCGGCGTCGTTCTTTTGTAACCGGCCATTGAACGCGAAGGATCAAAAATCGTTTTGTTAGTGTTAGTAAGTTTTTTTTAACAATTCACTGGTTTTTGCCTGTGTTAATTGATCACCATGTCACAGGAAAACACCATGTCACAGGAAAACAAGTAAGTAAATTTGTATACATATGTAAGGCTAAAATTTTACAATGAAATATTTTTTTTCTACGACCACTATGTAAAAGTCACATTTCGTATTGGCATTAGAGACAATGAATCTTTTCATTGGCAAGGCAAAACACGAATGTAAAGTGACATTTATGTGTGAAAAGTGACAGGTCTGTGTGAAAAGAAATTGACAGCATCGTTTGACATTCTTTTTAAAATTTGTATTGTATTTGTAAATATCATTTAAAACACAATTAATTGTGTTTGTATAATAAATTCTAATTTTTAGTGCCTTTATTTAAATTGAGAAGTTAAGTTTATTGATTTTAAGTAACTTATACCTACGTTAAAAATTAAAAGAATAAGATGAAAGATTATAAAAACACAATTAATTGTGTTCTAAATGATATTTATAAATACAATACAAATTTTGAAACGAATTTCAAACGATGCTGTCAATTTCTTTTCACACAGACCTGTCACTTTTCATACAGAAATGTCACTTTACATTCGTGTTTTGCCTTGCCACCCTGCTTAAAATACCCCATAGAGACCTATACAAAATAATCTATCGGGCGCTACCGGATTCAATATGTGCATTAAATAAAATCTAATATATATAAATTATATTATATTATATAATATATAAATTATACTCGGTATAGCTATAGTTTTTATTTTTTTTTGTATTTTAACTTAAAATATTTTGATATATAATTTGTTTTTTACCTATATTCTATATGATATATTAAATTTTAATTTAGTTATTATTAATCTCAATTTTAGTGCTCAAAACTAAGGCTCATTGGAGGTAAGGATGTGGTTGATTCCACAAGGCGAATATTATCAAAGATAATATCCAATAGTTTAGCAAAAGAATATAATTGGAAGGGAAAAGGAGCTAAAAGAGCATTTGCCACTCACGTTAATATAATTAACCTCTTATTAGGTAAGGCTTTCTTATACAAGCAATACTTTTTTAATATTAACTTTAAGGTTCACTTAGGACGAATAGCCTAACTAAGAACGCTTCCACAACAGAAGTTGAATCTGTTATTAAAGCTTGGCTACGAACAGCTGGGGACAGGGATGGTGGCAGAAATAGAAGAAGGCAATAAATTCATATTTTAATTTATTACCTAATTTTTTTGCTTTACCAAAAGTAATATATTTTTTATAACTATGTAAACCCACATATGTGATTATTTTTTTTAATATAAATAAGAATAAAACATTATTTTTTTATAGGTATATAATTATTTAAATAATCCTTTTTTAACTTAAATCTTAGAGACCTGAAAAATTAAATTGACATTTTTTTTATATTTCCTTTAGATCATCAATAATTATTATTGATCTTTAAAGGGGTCAAAAAACAAAGTCATTATCAGCTTGTCGAAGTTAAGCCGCTGATAAATCATCGTCCGCCCGTGTTTTTAGACATCGGCCCGCTGCCAATAGAAGACAAGGGGCAACGGTCGGCCAACGATTAATTGCCGATCATTTTCCGTCGTTTTTAGACATCGGCCCGCCCTTGTCTAGATAATGGATGGATATCCTTACAGACATAATATGTCTGAAAACAACGGCCGGCCGATATTTGAAGACAATGGCAGGCCTATGTCTAAAAACAACGGAGAACGATCGGCGATTGATCGTTGGCCGCCCGTTGTCACTTATCTCCTATTGACAACGGCCCAATATCTAAAAACAACCTCTAGCCGATGTTTGAAATAAACGGCGGGCCGATGTCTAAAAAATGATCGGCAATTGATCGTTGGCCGATCGTTGCCACTTGTCTCCTATTGACGGCGGGCCGACGGTCGGAAAACAATGGCGGGCCGACTACGTCATTATCGGCTTGCCGATGTTTAGCCGCCTTAATGCCGCTGATAAATGTTTGCTGGGTTAAAAGGATTAAACAATCAAAAAAATATATTTTCAAAATGATTAAGCATTTTTAATGTTTTTTCTTTTTTAAGGGCTTATTTAAAAAAATCCAACTGCCCACTTTTAGGTGTTAAATAACACCCCTCAATAAACAAAATTTGAAAAAAAACAGGTTTGTAGATTAAGTTTCTGTTTTTACTTTTTTTTCTTTAAATGTACAAGAATTTTGAAAATGACCCAAATAATTACTACTGGATATAAAAACTGACCGTTCACTAAAGTATCTGTCTCTTAAGCGTTCTCCAAATATTTCGAAGTATTTTAATATGGGCCAGAGAGAATTGAAGTTTTAATTCTCATAGGATGTGGCAATAAAACTAGAGGAAGTTTAATGCATCCCAAAAGGTATACATGAGCATATTTGCTGAATTCAGAATTTATTAATATGTTCTAATCTGCAAAAAAAGAGTGGACAATTTAAAAAAACGGCAGATGACGTCATAGCATCTACAAATTTTTTTTTAGACAATGTCAGCATTTACCCAAAATTTAAAAATATCTTTGCAAAAAATTGTAAAACAACATTTATGTTTGCACTTAAAACATATTGATACATAGAAAATCATAAAATGGGATGGGAAAGCAATGCTTCACATGCAGAATTTCACACACAAATTGGTTAGACAATAATTTTGCATGTATCAATAAAAAGACAAGATCAAAATCTCGGTGTGGTTAACAAAATTTGAAAAAAATGATTAAGGATTTTAGTTTGTTAAATTTTAATAAAAAATGTACAGGGTGTCTGTAGAAGGTCTTTGTAAAACTCACAACATAACCTGCATATCATTTTTACAAATTTTGTTTATTATTTTAGCAGTAGTATTATTCTAAATATTTAGTTTGTTTAGTTTCACTGTTATATTTTCTTACCATTATGTGATTGTAGGTGTCTGAATTACTTCTAACGGTTTTGTGCATCCCTCCGTACTGCAAGAATTTGCATGATTGATTAAATAAACTGTATACAGGGTGAGCTCGAAAGCCATGCACTAGCAAATTCTTGCATCAGATGCCAAATAGATATAAATAGTTATCAAGATATTAAGTTTGATTCAAAGCTAAAGTCCAAACTAGATTAAAAATTACCAAAAAGGGGTCCAAAAATACTAATGAAATACAGGGTCTTCCGAAAGAGGTTAATTTTTCTTTAATTAAATTTTTATTACTAAAAAAATTTTACAGCATAATCCACTTTGACTGAAGCTTAAATTTTTTTATCAATCTAATATAAACGAGCTCATCAACTATTTTGTTCTTGTCTCTACCAATCGTTAGGTTCAGTGATTTAATAATAATTATTATTAATAAAAATGTGTTAATTGCATGCCTCTACCAGTTTTATTGATAATTATAATAATTATAAGCATGTTATAACCCAAAAAAATATGTTCATGCTTTGTGGGTTTGAATATACAGGGGGATTCATAAGTACGCTTCAACAATATTCGAATAAAAAAATATATTTCAAATTTAGTACGACTTGTGCATCACCCTGTATATGATGCAGAGCTAGAGAGCGAAAAGTGTAAAAATCATATGTGAAAAATTCCTGTACAGTATCTACAACGATATAAAACCAACTCAAAAAATAAAATATTTACCTTTTCCATTTTGGAGAGATGCAGAGCGTATTTGTCGTGGGCTCTGAATTGCATAAATCGCATATTCGACGACTGTGACAGCTCTGTGATGCTTTTTATACTCGGAAAAAATCTGAAAAGGAAAAAAGAAACACTGACTGACGTGATTTTTTGCATAAAGATAGTTCCTGTGGTACCTATATTGCAAAATACGTAAAAAACGCATAACGCAACCAACATTACCTCCACGTGTAATCTTGGTGGCCCACATTCAGAATCCTTTTTTTGCAAAATTGTATAGCTCTCAGAATGTTTTTTGTTTTAAACTTACATTCGTATTTATTTGTTGGTAAAATATAAAATTTATGTACTATGCTCCACACCTCAAAGTCCAACCACGTGACCACGTACGGAACGCAGTCTTTTGAAAATTTGGCATTTAAGGCTTTTCAGGTTATGTATCTGTCAAAGTATAGTCAATGAAAGAAATAATATTTATAGTGTTAGCGCTTATGTTTAAGCGTTAAAAATTCATAAATCTTAATAGTATCACAATAACAATGGTTGGTTTAAGAATTTAGGAATATAAATACTGCATTTAATGAAATTCCAAAGTGTAAGGTGCAATATAAGTGATATTTTTGTGCATTGGGTCTACATTTCTCCATAAAATAGTTTTAACTAAACAGCTGCTAGCATTTATTAAAAAAAATCTAACTTCTCTATTATGAAATAAGAATATTTGTATTAAAGATAGGTTAATGTATTAGAACAAAAAATATCACCTAATTTTGTATTTTAAGGTTAGAAAAATCTATTTTGACCAAAATAAATAAGTGGATTATTTGAAAGAGTGTGTTAATATGGTCATAAATAAATATAGGTATACTAAATAATTGTTGAATATGGTTCAAATTAAATTGAAGCTTTTATACTTCTAATGACAAAACTTATGCATACCTCTCGGCATACCTTTAAGTTAGATTATAAGAAAACAAACAATTTTTAGGGAAACTTGCAATGTAAAAATATTTAATACTCCCATGACATGTGATTTATTAAAATTTTTAAAGTTATAATGATTTTTCGATGTAGATCAAGTTCAGTCGAAGCTTTTTAACTATTTGTATTGACAAAACTTTATGTAGGTACACTTTAAGCTGGATAAGAAAAACTACCACATTTTTAAATACCATATTATAGTCTTTTAAATAATCCAAAATACTTTTGGTCAAAATAAATGTTTCTAACCTTAAAATTACAAAATTAGATGATATTTTTGTTATAATATCGATGACTTTCTGCCAAAGTATCGCAAGTAACATAACTCAAATTTCGGGAATTAAAAACATTATTGTCTTAAAGTCTGTTTTAAATTAAATATAGCTTAAAGGATTTATAACAAGTAAATAGCTATAATTATACGCTATTTACTTGTTATAAATCCTTTAGGCTATATTTAATTTAAAACAGACTTTAAGACAATAATGTTTTCAATTCCCGAAATTTGAGTTATGTTGCTTGCGATACTTTGGCAGAAAGTCATCGATATATCGATGACTTTCTGCCAAAGTATCGCAAGCAACATATGTCAAATTTTGGGAATTGAAAACAATTTTTGTTTTAAAGTCTGTTTTAAACCATATATAACCTACATGTTTTATAACAAGTAAATAGCTATAATTATAAGCTATTTGCTTGTTATAGAACCTTTAGGCTATATTTAATTTAAAACAGACTTTAAAACAAAAAATGTTTTCAATTCCCGAAATTTGTGATATGTTACTTGCGATACTTTGGCAGAATGTCATCGATATTAACCTACCTTTAAAACAGATATTTTTATTCCATAATAGAGAAGCTAGATTTTTTTAAATAAATGCTGTTTAGTTAAAATAATTGTATGGAGAAAACCAGATATTGGACCAAATGCACAAAAATATTACTTATTTGGCACCATACACTTTACAATTTCATTAAATGCAGTATTTATATTCTTAAATTCTTAAACCATCCATTTTTATTGTAATGTTATAAAGATTTATACATTTTTAACGCCTAAACATAATATTATTTCTTTTGTTGACTATACTTTGACAGATACATAACATGAAAAGCCAAATGCCAAATTTTCAAAAGACTGCGTTCCGTACGTGGTCACGTGGTGGGACTTTGAGGTGTGGAGAATAGTACATAATGCTCTGTTCTGTGTCTGTGTTCTATAACTTTTTAAACATTTTTGCTCCCCAATTAGTATTTAAAAAGCAAGTAGTTTGTCCCACAAACTCCTAAAAAACTTTTAAGTCCTTAAAAAGATAAATTATATAAATATAAATGCGTGTTGGTAAAAACCCAATTTGTCCTTATTACTAGTTGTTTACTTCTCAAAGTTTAAGCTCCCTAAAGTATTACTTTTTGAATTATTACCCCCGAAAAGAGTAAGAAATATACGTTTATCATGGAGAATCATTTATCTTTATATAGTTGTTGAACGATTTAAGTAAAAATGTCGCTATAAATTATCCCTTTTTATGCGGCACATATCACTTTGAAAAGGGCAAACTTTTATCTTTTTTAAAATACGTTGCGTTTCAGCCAGATGAGTATTTTAACAATTTATTTAGTAGGTGTTTAAGTTAATGTTTTTGCAAAAAAGTTGAAATGGCTGTAACTTTAAAACTAGTAAAGATTTTTTAATATATTTTTTTTAATAAATGCTAAAAGCTACTAAAAACTTATATATTAGGTACAAAAATATCAAACCCTATTTTATTAATATTAATTATTAAGTACTGAAAAATAACAATTTTTTAATTTAATAACTTTTTCACTTAAATTTGTACAAAATCAAGATAATATGTTGTTAAAATTTCATAATGATATTTTTATCAGTTTATTTTTCAAATTCATTTTGGCCCACCTCAGATTGTTCTGCGAAATCTAGGACACCTTGTAGCTGATTTATACTATTTTAATATTAATTTGTTTATATTTTTAATATTTTATAAGGTTTTTAGATTCACAAAACGATGTAATTTCTATGTATACAGGGTGGACCAGGTTATAGTAGCAATAATTTTGTTTGTCAGCTCTCAGGTCAATAAAGCGTTTATGACCAAATTTTGTACAAGTACTTATGAAATAGATACTCATTACTTTACGCAGTTGTCAAAATTGTCCGAGGGGGTTGTTTCAATTTTTTCGCCCTATTTTCAACGTCACTGGTATTTTTAAACAATTTTTTCGTAAGGGAAGTTGCTTTTATGTTTGCCGCATAAATAGCGATAGATACCAACTTGCAAAAACAAAATTTACTTTGTAATTTTATTACATTTGATTTAAAAAAACAAAATTTTTTAACTCATTTTATAATTATTTTTTATTTTAATACAAAATGTATATATATATATATATATATATATATATATATATATATTAGACTGTGCCAAAAAAATCAACTATTTTTTTTTGAAAAGTATATCGAAAATATGGTTTGGGGCGACAAAAAAAAATTATTGTGAAACTTTGAGTCCATAATATTAATATTAAGAGGTCTATCATCGCAATTTTAATTTTTTTTCCCTCATCAAGTTTTTGTCTCAGAACTCCCAAACCATTGAGTTTAACAAAATATTTTTTGAAGAAAATTGAATTTTCTACAAAAAAGGTTAAAACGAAATTTTCTGTCAGATGAACCGTTTCCTTAAAATCATGCCTTAAAAATTGTTATAGTTTTACATTTTGATCTTTTAACTTTGGAATTTTGTATTTCATGTAAAAATCAGTACCCATAAAAAACCGATGAATATTTTTATGGGAAATCAAATGCTCTACAAAAAAAGTATTTTAACATTTTTGGCTAAATTCACTCAATCAAAAGTTATTCAAGGTAAAAATTTTGTTTTGACTTCAAATTTAACCTTGAATAACTTTTGATTGAGCGAATTTAGCCAAAAATGTTAAGAGGCTTTTTTTGTAAAGCATTTGATTTCACATAAGAATATTTATTGGTTTTTTTATGGGTACTGATTTTTATATGAATTTCAAGATTCCAAAGTTAAAAGATCAAAATGTAAAACTATACCAATGTTTAGGGCATGATTTTAAGGAAACGGTTCATCTGACGAAAAATTTCATTTAACCTTTTTTGTAGAGAATTTAATTTTCTTAAAAAAATATTTTTGAGTCAATTTTGTTAAACTCAATGGTTTGGGAGTTCTGAGACAATAACTTGCTGAGGAAAAAAAAATTAAAATTGCGATGATAGACCTCTTAATATTAATATTATGGACTCAAACTTTCACAATAATTTTTTTTTGTCACCCCAAACCATATTTTCAATATACTTTTAAAAAAAAAATAGTCGATTTTTTTGGCCCCGTCTACTATTGATAACTATCGGACTAAACTGAAAAAAATGGTTTCGCACAGTGGAGCAAACAATTTGCGTACAAACGAACCTAGCCCCATTTATGAACTCCAACTGAATGGGGGAATTACCAAATCCCTGGTTTAGGGGAACTCCGGATTGTACTTAGTTTTGGGTCAGTTCAATGTCCTCCAAAAACCAAAATGTTTTCACTCCTTGTCCCGTACTCAACTAGCCTGAATCGGGCGTATGGCCCAGCCCGGCGACAATATTCCGGGAGTGGCCTTAACTTAACTTTGTAATTGTTTTTAGAGTCTACTTTCTACTACAACCTAGAATGTTTTCAACATTTTCTGGTAGAGAATATTATCATGCCCAAACCTTCTTAATAGACTTGTAATATATAACTATTTATATATATATATATATATATATATATATATTATATCCAAACAAATTCCATAAATGCTGGCGTGTTTACCAAGCAAACTTCCAAACAAACAAACAAACAGTTTGTCTCTCGCGAGACAAGAATAATAAAGCGACTTACTTGAACATCGTTTGCACCGCCACTATTGTGTTACAGTCCGAGAGGGAATCTTCTTCCGCCGAATTGGACAGTTCCTTGTTAACGACCACCACGTTTTCCGCCAACGTTATTCCCGCACGGAGTAGGTCGTCTAAGCTGAAAGCAAAACAATTTGTGACATCATGATGTTTGTGTTTCTATTATCGCCATTTTATCAACCACAATAGGACATATGTATATGGGTCTTTCCATCTCAAATCGACCAGGTTAAAAGGAGTAGGTCGACATTTTTCAACGAATTTTTTTTTACAATTTCTCTACCGAAATCAATGAGACGTGTTTTCTCTTTTTGCTTAAATTTGTTTTGTTCACCCGTAGGAAATTTTTGAAAAATGGACAGAAACATCGATGTTTCTTTTTTTATGACATTTTTTATTGAAAATGCGATAACTTGGCCAAAAATGTTTAAATCGTTACAATTTTTTAAATTATAGGTAAATGTTTACTACATACAAAAAAATATAAAAAATTAAGTGAATGCACACAATTTAAAAAAATGTTGTTTCGGAATTATTATTTTTTTAATGAAAATGCCATATTATCGCAAAAATTTGGTAATTTATCTAGGGTCATGAAACTGGGGTGACCTTTATAAAGTGTAATTTAGAACTTTTTGACATATTTAAAATATTTTCTTCACTTCCGGAAATGGTCTTAACTTTTTATTTTTTAATGAAACACCCTATGCATTTTTAAATTTCGATTTAAAATAAAATTTTGAATACAATCATTTTTTGATTAAATTTTATTTTTATATCTAGAGTGCCTTGAATTGGCTTTTCTGCTTCATGTTGGGCCAAGTAGTCTGAAAAAAAACCAATTTTATTCTTTTTTTGCAATGCTGGTTTTTAGGATTTTTCAAAAATTAAAAAACCATACTTTATGCGAGGGGTCATCCACACCTGGGAATCCCTGGACATTTTAGAGGGGGAATACCATAGGAATACAATGGAAATAAATAGGAATACAATAAAATATAATGGGAATACATGGGAATCCCTGGACGTTTTCCCTTTGGGTGGTTGACCCCTCGACTTTATGCCAAAAAAAATTTGTTGGTCAAAAATTAAAGTCCACTTTTTTAAATTTAAAAATAAATATAAATGCATTTTTCAAGTGCGCCATACCTACTTTAAACTTTGAATGTTTATTAGTTTTAAAGTATGTACAGAAGTAAATAAATTAAGAAGGCTTTGTGTTTAAAAGAAGTATCAGTTTTTGACAGTTGGTTAGTTTGTTTTGTTTTGATAAGTAAACATTAACATTTTATTTTACCATGAAAAGATATGCTAAAACATTTTATAAAATATAATAAAGAATCAAAGGGGTGTAAGTAATTTCTTAACATTTTTTGGTTTTAAAACTACTAAATAAAATAATTCAATTATTTTGGAACGATTATAAAAAGTTATATTCAACCGCCCCATAGTGTGGCCATTGCAGGGAATCTCTGCAAATAAATAAAAAACAAATGAAATCAAATAAAAATTTGTTATTTCTTAACATAATTAACCAGCGCATTAGATTCTGGACCTAGACTTGATACTTATTTCCCTTCATGATATAGCATCAGTCAAAAAGAGTTTCGCGACTGCCTCACTTATAACTGTTATCTGACCAACATTTCTTGGAAATCGCGTTTTTATTTGTTTCTTGTGCATTTGATTCATTACTTTTATGTATATAATACTTACCTACTTTTTAATTTTTTAACCAAAATTAAGCAACACATAATAATAATAATTATAATAACTATAGTTATTTTGCATTTTTTTATATTTAATATAATGCTATACAGGGTGTTTCTGGAGAAACGCAAACGATATGGATTTGAAATTTTAATATCATATACAATTTGATTTAGACTATACCTAAAGTCAATAGTTTTCAAGATATTATTTTTTTTCGTTAAAATTTTGCTAAATGCACGTTAATCAAAAATAGCCTATATTTTTTTTGTTATTATGTTTGCTGACATGGGGTTGGAATTTTTGAACATTGTTTAAATAATTTAATTTTTTAGAGGGTTTTTAACAAATAGCTTGAGAAAAACCACTTGAAATTAGCAAATAATAATAATAATACGGTTTTTATTTTAAATGTAAAACCCTGTATGTGTTAACATAATCAAATAGAAAATGAAAGAATTTTTCGATTGGTATTATAATAACTATAGGGATGGGATTTTAGTTACTTATTTAACCTTTTTTCAACCGATGAAACTATTTGAAAACCAATAATGCCAAAATGTGTTTTAAAAGATTTTCTTTTATATGAACCTAACTTGTTTTCACCTTTTTTACCTTTTTTGGAGGTTTTTGCTTTAAACTACCTTTTTATACTTTTGTTACATATTTTTTAATTTGTCAGTGTATTTTCACCTATTTGTTACCTATTATTACGTATTTTTACTTATTTTATTTTTTTGTGTTCTTTTTAAATTTTGCGCCAATATTTTATCCAGGGCGTGCAACTCAACGGTATAGAATTTTTTCTTATGGTCACAGACTGTAACAGTAACTTTCTTTACAGTTACCTTCTTTGTAGTTATATCTGTCATAGAACTTCCGTGTAGTGAGTGTCACTCAGTGAAACACAGTTTATTGCATAGAAATAGTTTATTGTGGGTATGTTCTGTGTTTGGGTATACGGCTAAACAAAATTATAAACGAAACGTGAACTTTTAATGTTTTTTTTTTACCTAAAATGCTGTTTTTTTAACCTAAAATGCTTTTTTTAGTTACCTATTTTTCAGTTTTTAGTACCTAAATAGGTATCTCATCTTTAATAATAACTGTAATAACTTCCTAAAGTTAAAATTTCAGTCATTTAACAATTTCTAATATTTTCAATACTATTTTGTAATAACAAACCTGTGAAATTCTACATGTGGGTTAATGTGACAGTATCCATGGTTCTGTCATTTTTAAAATTAATTAAAAAATTTGATTTAAAAATTAATAACTCGAAAAATATTGACTTTAGATCTAGGATATGGTATAGCCATTTTACTCGGAATTTTATGAAGAATAAAAAAATGTAAAAATTTATGAGGTGTCATGTTTAAAATAACAAAGTTAAAGACATATCCGGTAAAACAGGAAGTATTATTTTGTTCAAAATAATTTAGGAAAAAAGTCCAAATCGAATAATTTACGCTATTAAAATTTTAAATCGATGTCTTTCGCGATTCCCTAGAAACTTCTAACGGACCACAATCCACACCCTGTATATTAAACGTCATTTATGTGTTATGCTATACTTAATTATTAATAAAAGATATATCTGCATACAACAATATTTGTATAAAAATTACAAAATGTACTAAACTAAACATTTATGAATACTGCTAATTCAAAACTGATCCTAAGTTATTCCTAACCACAGAAACATAATTTGCATAAAAAAGTCAATATATCAAATTATAGTTAAATATCAATACTTTAACGTGTTAAATTTAAAAAACAAATTGCTTCTTCGATTATTTACCCTTTAAAAATTGTTAAATTTTAAATTAAATTATCATTAGTAAGATCTACATTTTTTCCAAATTTCAAATCAATACGTTTTAAAATAAAAAAGTTATTTAAAAAAATGAAATTTCTTAATTTTTAACACATTAAAGAAATGGGCGAGATTGTTTTTTGAAAAAAGTACTGCATTTAGATGTACAAATAAGGTAAAAAAGTTTCAATCGATTTCTTTACTCTAAAATCTTTAATAATTTAATTTACTTATTTAAGAGCATTTCCGGTGAAACCAGAAGTGATAAAAATATGTTAAATATGTCAAAAAGTTCTAAAATACGAAATTTTTGCGATTAACCACGAATTTACTAAAAAATCTCATTTTTATTAAAAAAAATAATTCCGAAACGACGAATTTAGCCAACTCGGTAAAAGTTGTTCATATTATCAACTGGTCGATTTGTATTTTTTCTTTTTTTAACCAAAGATTCTATTGTTTGATATTAATTTTTGTAACCACCCTGTGTAACCCTTAAAAGTTGATAAAATACACTTTTCACAGTTACTATTACACTTACCAGTCTATAGAGCCCAGCATCCAATAAACCAGAGGAAAATAGGATATGGAATCCAAGAAGGCGATGTCGGGCCTCCGTTCCAGCAGCAAAATGATCGGATTCAGGGACGTCTTCGACCGGAAATGGGCCCTCAACGGTATAATAAAGTTGTAAATCCCGTTCGACGCGTAATCCGCCGCCAGGATGATCGTCTTGTTCTGCCACTGGTAATCCCTGGCGTTGCGGTAGCTGCAATGCTCGCACACCTGCGCCAGCTGCAGGCAGCACAAGGGCTTCTTCTCTTTGAGGAGGTAGCACAGGGTCGGACTCACCCCGATGTAGGGCGAGACGGGCGGAAAGCCTTTCACGATGCTGTGCGGAAAGAGGTTTATATGTAATCACCAAGCGGTGACAGCGGTGAGATGTATTTCTTGTTTGTTATATTAGGTTAATTAACGATTTCAGTGGCTTTTTGGTAGTATTATAAACAATAGACTGGGCCAAAAAAAATTGAATATTTTTTTTTGAAAAATATATCGAGAATGTCATTCAGAAAAAAAAAATTCGCTATTTTTGATTTTTAGTCATAATTTTTCACTTATTATATAAAATTAAATTCTCTACAAAAAAGGTCTGATTGAAAATTTTCGTCAGACGGGCCGTTTCCGAGTAATTGAGCTTAATAAATCGATGTGTTTTTTTGATTTGCCCTTTTTACTTTGAAATTTTGTAACTAATGAATCAATGAATATTTAAAAAAGCTCACGTCGGATTCTTAAAGGAAATTTAATGTTCTACAAAAAAGGTCTCTCAACATTTTTCCTAAATTTAATTCTTCAAAAGTTATTCACGAAGAAAACATAGAAATTTTAAGTTTTTCTTCGATTTTAATCGTGAATAACTTTTGAAGAATTAAATTTAGGCAAAAATGTTAGGAGACCTTTTTTGTAGAACATTAAATTTCCTTTAAGAATCCGACGTGAGCTTTTTTAAATAAATAATAAATAAAGTTTTTATTGCATATTCAGTACAATACAGAACATATAATACAAAATATACAAAAGGCCATCGACCGGGGTCCTTCAGCTTTTTTAAAATATTCATTAATTCATTAGTTACAAAATTTCAAAGTAAAAAGGACAAATCCAAAAAACACATCGAATTATAAGCGCAATTACTCGGAAACGGCTCATCTGACGAAAATTTTCAGACCTTTTTTGTAGAGAATTTAATTTTATATAAAAATAAGTAAATAGTAGATTACAGTAGAAACCGTCAATATATGAACGTGACTCATCCTGTGCCGAACATATCTCAGACATGCTAGCAGTAATGTTTTACTTGTCTTGTACATTCGATGCAGCGGTAAATGTACTCACACGTAGGTTTTTAAGCATCCGGTCTAAAATGCGCCATCTGTGATGTAAAACTGCCTAGGTGTTGGACAAAGATGGACATATGACGCTTGTGTCCTAGCTTGTTACTTAATTTTATTGGAAGTCAGTAGAGTTCGTGTTTTAGGAATTTATTTTATTTTATTACATAGTAAGGCAACCAACTTTACCGTCGGCCATTTGTTTTTATATGTCATATGATCTTTGTTTTTGCATATCTTGTTTCTACTGTGTGTTTACGGATTAATAATCGTTTTAAACGTTGTAGTGGCAGTGGTTTATATTATGTAACACAGGTAGATGTCGTATAAAAATTCTTACCTAGAAATTCTAGGCTAGAATACAAAAATATTTTTATTATATAAATTTTGTACTAGTATTAGTTTAATACATTCTGAAGAAGCTACTGTGTAGCGAAACAATTGTCAATATTTAATAAATTTCGTGAAACTAACGCAAGTTGTTTTTATATCCACACAATTTAAATATCTTTCACTTTGTACCTGACCTGCGTAAACATTTTTGTTTTTTGTCACCAATTCTGAAATATTTGCGTTTACAGTTAAAAGAATAGTATATTCTGTAACAAGTTTGACGGTTTCACGAGAGGGGAATATGCAATTCCAAACGTGTTTCAGACTATACTAAGAATTTAATTGGAAGAAAGTGAGGTTGGGTCGGTCTAAAAATTTGTTATTAAAATCAGAGATGTCGCCACGAGTGTACGTTCTGTAATCAGATGATAGAATATTTCATTAAAGTTAAAAGAAAAGTTTATTTATTAATTAGTTTCTAAGAAAATTACATTTTATTTAATTATCGTAGATGTTAATTATGTTAGATGTTAATTATTTAACTTTAAAAGCAAATATATCATAAGTATAGCAACCAACATTACACTCAATTTTTTTTACAAACGAGACTGCACTGGACCGTGACCTTCGATAGATTGCTTCGTACGAATGTGTCGGATGAGTCACGTTCATATATTGACGGTTTCTACTGTATGTCATAAGGAGTAGAAGTGACTCTTTTTGTGGTGAGTACAGAGATTGGCGGCCGAAGCGTAGCTGAGGCAGGCAACTGTACGAAGCACAAAAAGAGCTTCTACTCCAAATAACATATACAATTTTTTTTTCAAGGGCGTAATATAAATAGGATAAGCAATAGAATTATTTTATTTACTCATAACTTATGTGGTATAAAATTTTGGCTAAAAGCATTATAAATTATTGTTAAAAACTAAAAAAACTTATAACCCTTACTTACAATGCCGATAAATATCCTAAACTAAAAATAAACACTGCTCTGTCAAAATGCTGCGCTTGAATTAATTTTGACGTACTGACATTTGTTTGGAGTTCCGACATTGGCGACTCGTCTATCATCATAATATTATACTAATAAACTAGTTGTTCTTTGTTTCGTTCAATTAAAATTTAATAAATAATCACTAAATATTCCGTGCGATTATAATTAATATAATTAATACATCGTGATTGCTTTGTATGAAATGCTAAATTAATTTTATTATTTGACGTCTATTGAGACACCTATGGATTTACTTCTATCCCTAGGCTTTTTTGAGTTTTTTGTCTGCCGCTAATGAAAAAGACGCACTTCAACTATCTCTATACAGGCATATAAGGTTATATATCATGGCCGCTTGAAAAAAAGGAATTTTTTTCACTTTAATGTTTTGACAGTTCTAACGTAAAACATCAAATTATGACTAAAAATTAAAAATAGCGATGATAGACCTCTGAAAATTAATATTAAGGGCTCAAATTTTCACGAATTTTTTTTTGTCATTCTGAATGACATTCTCGATATATTTTTCAAAAAAAAATAGTCAATTTTTTTGGCCCAGTCTAATAAACAAGATGTAAGAATTATTAAAAGTTAGAAATAAATATAAGAAATTCGGTTAAAATTTATGTACACTAAATTTTTATTATTTAAACATTAAGACAATGCATTCCACTAGCAATAGGATGTTATATACAGATATAAAGGTATAAGTCTAAATATTTATACTTGTATGTAGATCAAAAACCAGGACTAGATAATAATTATTATAATTTAATACAGGGTGTTACCTAATAATTTGTCACCCTTTGGGGGGATGATAGTACACGTCAAAACAAGAAAGATTTTCTCTATTATTTTTGCATTATCATATATGGGTGATTCTACAAAAGTTGGGCAACTTTTGACCTCATTTTGTTTATATAGTTTTCGGAGAAAATTAAACAGTATTTTGTTATGAGAACATAGATAATATAATAAATAGGCCGTTCCAGACCGGGCCAGTCACTTTCTCAAACAGTTTCTGAAATATCTGTGTTTTCTAAATTTGAATGAAGGGAAGTGACGAGTATACCAGGGTACTAATTAAATACATAATTTATTGGAAAATATAAGATTTATTGCAAATTTGGGCCTATTATACATTAAATATCTTAAAATCAAATAATACCACACATCAGTGGCGGCTGGTGGATTTTGAGTATACCGATATCTCAATTATTAGATATGGGACCCACACCAAATTTATATGAGTTTATAATGACATTAAATGAACAAGTTCTGCGCAAGCAGAATTTAAATTGAAGTTTGCGAACAAATATAACCGAAACATCGAACATGGAACTGACGACACGGTACTGATGAATGAGATACAAATTTGAGATTATAATTCGTAATTAAATATTTTACTGATATTTTTCATTAGTGGATGCTACTTATCAACAAATCACATATAGCCTTATATAAATTACAATGAAATATACGTAAGAAAATAACTACTCACCACAGTACTGAAATTTTGATTGGAACTATACGTACATTCACCACAACTTTGCCGTTTGCATTGTTTTCAAGATGACTGTCGTGCAAAGGGCGGGCTCTGTAGGTAATTTTTTACCAACACTTGAGTTAAAACGAGGACTTGACGTTTAAACTTCAATATTTCGCAGGAATTTTGAATTTTAACATTTGACACAGAACAGACGGGTAAAAGTGAGTACAAAGATTATCTTTTTTTAAAATTGCTATTATTCGAATCTATGATAAAATATGAAAAATACATTATTTAATGTTGTATAGTTTGTAGTGAAATTGAAAAATTTAAGATAAATTGAATATATTTTAAAATAAAATTACTCAAATATTTGATTCGGGAGATGTGACACGCCAAGGGACTGATGTTTTGAATATTTATTATGTTTTTCTACAAACGTGCTTTTGAAAAAATACATTAAAATTGGGTGGACAAGTTAAAAATACCATTTTGGCGTGTACTATAAACCCCTTAAAGGACGACAACTTATTTGGTGATTTACAGTATTTTTTAAATTAATTAATATTTTTTTATAATTCTTTTCTATTTCGTTCTTTAAGAATTCTAGAAGGCTTTGATTATAATAAAAATTATTATTATTATTCATTAGGTCCTGCATTTTGATTTGAAACATTTAAAGTTTACTAACATTACGATTATGTCTATCTTATTAAAGACATGCACCGTCGGGGAAAAAGGGGTTACAAAGAGTACTGCAGACTTTGTATCTAATAATAGTTATTAAGTTAGTCGTATTAAAAAGTTTCGAAATAATCTTCCATCCAAGCTGTTAAGGAGGGAAGAAAGTAGGGCACTTAAAAAGTTTCGTTTATTTCACTGGCCACGCGAATCGGCAACTTTTAGGCACGTAAGCCTAAAATATGTTTCCCATAATATAAAAGCTATACTTAAATGAGTTTTGTGTCGCTTTATGGCCAGTTTTTATTTAAATTATATATATGAATGGGGAATTCCACGTGAATTTGACACGAAAAAAACCCTTGCCATTTAAAAATTCCTCGGCAATTTTTTCATGGGTACCCTGACTCAAAAAAAATTCAATTTTAATTTTAGCACGGTTTATCAATTGTTTTTAGCACACTATAATTTTTTTCTTCGAAAACTAAAAATCCATT